ACTTGCCACCACCACACCTATTAGCAACGTACACATAGCGCCCGGTTAGCTAACCCGCCTCCTCACCCGTCTACAGAAGCAAGGGGTCAAGGGTACCATCTTGTGCCTGAACGCAGACGTCATTTGCCCATTTACCCGCTCCTTGCTCACATTAGACGACTTTTGCAATCACGCCCTTTACCTACGTCTTGCCGTCCGTCTCTCACTACTTTGCACTCGACCAGAGAGACTTTTGTTCGAGTGCTTGCACTGTGTTGACAGCCATGGAGCGGGTACGACCTCAAGCTGCACCATACGCCCAGGGACGTCGCATGTCAATTTTTACCGAGGTTGGACTGGTGGATGAGAATAGGATACAGGAGGAGCGGAGCCCAGTGCGAACACATGAATCGCTTGCGCGGTTGCGGCCTGTCAAGATGCTGAGATTCAAGAGTCTGAACGATGTCTTCAACGAAAATGGCGAGAGACAAGCCGACGACGAGGACGACTGGGAATCAGTGTGCGGTGACGACGACGAGGACGACGAAGCAAACGAATCGTTGCCATCAATTATGACGACCTGCACAGCGCCGATATACTTGGCACCCACGAAACTTTACCGATTGGGTCTGCTCAGTCTTCTGTTGGCACTGATGCTACCCATTATGCAACTCAATCCGCTCAAGCATGTCGGAGTAAGGGGTGGCATGATTCCAGCAAACTCGATCCAGGCCAACACCGAACGCTCCATACTTGTCAGACGGGAAGATAGTCCTACCGATGCGTGCAGACGATGGAGCGGTCAAAGCGCCATTGTAAACGGCACCCTCTACATGTATGGCTTTCGTAGAACAACCGAGGCCCAGCAAACCCAGAACACATGGAGTACGTTTCGCGACCCTACAATTCTCATCTCACTCTTGCCGGACGCTAACTTCTCATAGACAATGACTTTCTCACTCTCGACTTGACCCAGTCCTGGCAAGTCAGCTCGCCTGCCCTGACCGGTCTTCCCAAACCTGCCGGTCCACCTGCTGTGTCGCTCGGCCAACTCTGGGCATCGTACGATTCGCTCTGGCTATATGGTGGTCAATTCTCCGATTCCCCCATTGTCGAACCAGCAAACAACTCGATATGGGAGTATAACATTGGAAAGAAACAATGGTTCGAGCATGCCGATCCTAAAACCTCGGCCGGCCAAAAGGCTGAGAATGAGGGGCAGTCAGTACAGCGCGTTGCTGAAGGTGCTGGTCTTACTGTCAGCACACTGGGCAGAGGGTTTTATTTTGCAGGCCATCTGGACTTTCTCACCACCCAAGGCTGGAGCAACCAGATTGCACGCGTCTATCTCAAGAGTTTGTTGGAATTCACCTTTCCGGGTCATTCAAACAATGCTGTAAACTCTCTGCAAAACGGAAAGACCGCAGGGTCTGATGGCGCATTCCGTAACATCACCTACGGCGGATTGCAAAACACGGCTTCGTTTCCAGAACGCGCGGACAGTAGTCTTGTATACGTTCCCGGGTTTGGTGACGAAGGCTTACTGATTGGTGTCACTGGGGGTGACAATGCTACGTTTGTAAGTTGATTTCATGACGGTGTCTAGTCCGACTTTCTAACACAAGCTAGACGCAAATGAACACTATCGATGTTTACGACATTGCGACGTCGACATGGTACAAGCAAACTACCTCAGGCAAGACTCCAAACTACCGCGTCAACCCCTGTACTGTTGTCGCTGCTGCTCAAGACGGCTCGTCCCATAATATCTACATGTACGCCGGTCAGGATCTTGAACCGGCAGGCAAGCAGACGCAGCGTGATGACATGTGGATTCTTTCCATTCCCTCATTTACTTGGATCGAAGTGGACCAAGGTACGAGCAAGGCAAGCATGCCTCCTGCCCGTGCTGGACACCTGTGCCAAGCCTGGGACGCGCAAATGATAGTCATGGGCGGCTACAACACGAACCTAGGTTGCGATACACCCGGTATCTACGTGTTTAATCTGAGCAGTTTGTCGTGGAGCAACCAGTTCACCGCCGTTACAGGGAAGAACGCGCTACAACAGTACAACAGTCAGGACAAGGGTAGTACCGGTAATCCGCTTTCTCAGCAGATCAATCAACGAGGCTTCGGTGTCAACGCAGGTATTGAAGGTTCATACGGCTACGCTGTTCCTGAAGTCGTGCAAAGCGTCATCGGCGGCAAAGCAACAGGAGGCGCAACACTCACCGCACCCGTCCAAACAGCCACCCAAGGCCCTCTCGCAACCGGAAAACCTCAAACATACACTATGACAGGTCCAGACGGTGCAACCATCACCAATGTCATCAATGGAAACCCTCAAGCTATCAGTTCCGGAGATAGCGGCCCCAACATCGCTGCCATTGTTGCTGGTGTCATCGCCGGTGTTTTCTTCGTCATTGCAGCGTACTTTGCGTTTTGCGCCTGGATCTACCGTCGCCAGGTTCAGATCTGGAAACAACATGCCGCTACAATGCAGACACGCGCCAACGCTGAAAAACTAGGCACGTTTACTTCGTCATCAGGTCCGGGTACAGTTGGTGGAAGCAGCCACGGTGCTGCCGCTGGCTCGTTTGACATTGGGCGTGGAAATAATAGTGGTGAGGCTGCGACGGCATATGGTGGTCCGGGTGCTGAATGGGGTAGAAGAAACAGTGAAGGAAGCGTTGTGGACGGGCTTTTGGATGGTCAGGAGCCTAGCTTCTGGGGCGCAAGGGGCGTTTTGCTTAACCCTAGGAGGAGTTTAAGGGTCATCAATAGGGATTAATGATGGTGACAGGGTGGAGGGGGGACTTAAAGGGTGTGTATGTCTGTTTCATTTATGATTCCCCGAATTTCTTTATGTATTCTTTTTATTTTTGCCATGTTTTAAAGCAAAGCATTCGATAGCGAGAAGCGAGGTCTTGATGGTGCCGCTATGAATTGAATGGAACAGATAACCAAAGGGATAGATGCCGCTATGAATTGAATGGAACAGATAACCAAAGGGATAGATAGCGCCACAGATATATGCATAACTTAAGTAGTAGTTGTAATAATAAGTATGTAGTTAGGTTGAAAATTCAAATATTATAACCGAGTGGTTTCCGTAGTCAATACACAGACGATGTACTACGAAGTCCCTTGTCAAGAATACGTCAGCATTTGCCTGACCTACGTCTTCAATCCCCGCACCAGACCGCCCTTTTACCCCGCCCCACACCACGTATCCACATACTATACCTCAACAGTACTCCATCCTTACCCGAGGACACGTACTCTATACTATTCTTGCCTACCTTCCAGCGCTCAATTCTAAACTACAATTATTTGGTAAAACAAAAATTTCTCATCAATCATCAGTTTCAACTGGGCACTTTGGCGGGTAAGCAGTTGTACCTCGCAATGTGTGCATTATCCGCTAACAAACTACTCTAGAGTGGTTAACGCGCTGGCCTGCTAGTCCCTTTGGGAAAGTTAGCCAGTTCCTTCGGGAGCGTGTGTTCGAATCACACAGGTGTCGCGTCAAATGTACTTTAGGCGTTGTGGCGGGTAAGTCTAGATTTATCCTGGTAGGATTCGGACAGTAAACTAACAGGCATAAAGAGTGGTTATCGCGCAAGACTAGAAATCTTGTTCCTTCGGGAGCGTCAGTTCGAATCTGGCCAACGTCGTATAATTTTTTTAGGGTTTTTTTTTTCTTCTCTTGATCCATTTAGAGAGATTACGGAAAGAAACTAGTACGGTACTAGTATGGTGGTAGGCAGTTCTTTTTGCATAGTAAAAAGTATAGAGTAAAGTGAAAATACATTTGAAATACACCATCTACTTGCTACCCAATTGTACAAATTACCTTACCTTTTGTCTTGTTCTCCTGTAATAACCTCTGCGCATCCTGGATCTGCTCCCACGGTAGTACCTTTTCCACAAAGAGCTTGAAGCTACCATCCTTGATCTTAGGTAGCGCATGCTCAACAAGCTGATCCCTAAGCTTGCCTTGATACTCTTCATCGCGACTCCTCAGACTACTACCGACAAAAGTGCACCTTTTCCTAATAAAGGCACTAATATCCGTTCCCTCTGGAAGCTTTGTGCCACCCATGAAGCCCAAGTTCACAATGACACCGTCCTTGGCCACGGCGTCGAGATTAGCTTGAAAGTATGAGGCGCCGATGAAGTCGACGATGATGTCTACGCCTTTTCCGTCTGTTGCTTTCATAACCTCTTGTACCCAGTCTTGCGACGTTGTGTTGAAGGCGGTCGTGGCGCCGAGTTCCTTGACGGCAAAGTCGCATTTGCTGTCCTGACGGGCGGTTGCATAGACGGCGGCGGCGCTGTCTGACCGGGACAGCTGAATACCGGCGATGGATACGGAGGAGGCGGCTGCGTGCCAGAGGATGGTTTTACCGGGCGCAAAGTGGCCGACTAGGTACATGGCTTGCGTGGCTGTGATCCATGTCTGTGAATGTTTAGTTAGTTGGCTGGGCTAGCTGTGTAGAGACTTGTCAACAGACGTACCTCTGGAATACCGGCGCATTGCTCCCATGTCAACTCGTTGGGTTTCCGCACAAGCATGTGTGTGGATACGGCAATGTACTCTGCATATGCGCCTCCGTACGCTAAACCAAACACTTCATCGCCCGCTTTGAAACCTTCTTTTCCACCGCCTTCGGCACTTAGCTCTGCGATGGTGCCTGAGAATTCTACGCCTAGGATCTTAGATGCACCGGGGGGAACAGGGTATTGTCCTTCGCGCTGCAGGAGATCCATGCGGTTCAGGCCAAAGGCTTTGATCTTGACGAGTGCTTGCGACTTTCCCAGCTTCGGTTTGGGCACGTCGGCGATGTGGAGGTTTTCGAGGGGGCCTTTGCCATGTTTGATGTCTGTCAAGTTTAGCCTGTTGGGGTTTAGGTGGTGAGTGCATTATGTACGGACCTACTGCGCGCATCATATCACCCATTCTGTCGGAAGGTTTGATGGTTTTGTTTTGAAGCGGAACCAAGTCGATGAGAGATTTGAAACATCAAAGAGACGTCAGAGGGATGGTAACATGTTGGGACACAACGGTACATAGCTTGTTCCGAGGCTATTCCGGCGATTGCGGAATTGATTGGTAATGACGTTGGGGAGGGGCGGCGGCTTCACAAATCAAACCCTGGTGGGGTACACGACATCGGACAATCTAGGCAATGGCCCAGTTATGCATTCGGCATCATCGCAACCATGCTTATACTCAATACACGCATCATACGACGGCTAACTAAGACTCAGGGCAGAAGACTGACAGATGGCCCCAATGCCGGGCTCTAGTTGACAAACAGGCTGTCCTCATTCAGGTCGTACTGCTTGATAAGCTGCGCAAGCTTGTTGGCTTCCTGGGCGTAATTGAGTTTGTGCAGGCCCAACACCTGGTAGCGTGGCCTATTAATGTCAGCAACAGTCGACATATCTTGTCAGGCAACTCACTTTGGCTGGTCCTGATATGTCTCCATCTTTGCCCGTACACGAAAGTTGAAAGTCTTGCATGTGGCCTCTTGCATAGCCGTCATGAAGTTTGTAGTGCCGTTCTCCTCGTCGTCCACCTTGAGCTTCATTGCTTCATTTGCAGGCATGCCAACGATTTCCGCACCGGCCTCATCGAAACAACTTAGCCACAGCGTGCCGGTATGATCGCCAACGTTGACGCTCAGCACATAGCGGTACTGGGGTTCCGGGAAGCTAGCCTGGCACTTCTCACACCACCAGCTGCCGGGGTTGTCTTCGATGACCTTTTTGTTGCAGCCCTGGGTTGAGCAGGCAGGATATGCGACCGTGGTGTTCTTGACGTACAGTACTGATGCCCTGAGACTCATATACGTGGGCGTGTCTTGGAGGTAGGCTTCCTCCTCTATGATGGCAGAGATGATCTTTGCGTCGTTTTTGGAGCCCCCGGCAGCCGATGCCATGTTCTGATGGGTAGAAAATGTGGTAGTCTGGCCAACGGCATCGAACCAACCCCGTAGCCTGTGTGCCTCATCAATATCCGGGTCAATCATCATGGAGCCAGAGCTCAACAGACTCAGACTTCTCCCGCCAAAATCAGAAACCTTTACGCCCTTGAAGGCGATGATGGATTCCAGTGGAGCGTCGAAGCTTTCTGCAGTCTTGCCCCAGATGGTCAGTCTGACGGATGTTTGACTATCATCTGCCAAGGTCAACTCCCGCTTGCTGAAGTCCTTGTTGGTCGTCTTTGACGTTATGGTGGTGACGTCGGCAACTTCCTTCAACACGCCAATCGTGTCAATGGTAGTGTCTTTCTCGACGGAGCTCAAATCGCCAATCTTGGTGAAGTTGAAACGTATTTGTGGCTTGTTCTCCTGATCTTCTGCCTTTTCGACTTCCGTGTCGCGCTCGAATTGCAGTTCGTAGTCGTTGGGCAGATTGGAAAATTGCTTCTTCGCCAGCGTAACCCGGCAGGGGGCTGAGACGTAGTAGACGGTACCCACTTCGAAGACGGGGTAGAGTTTATCAGCGACTTCGGTGAAGGCGGTAGCCCGAATCTCGCCAGTATCGTCTAGTAAGTTGACGCTGAATAGCTTGCCGGCTCCCTTTGCGTTTGTCCATTCCTTCATATCGCTCTTGGCGGTGCAACGGGCGCGAATGGTCCACTTGTGTGCGTATTGCGACAGGGATTCGATGGGGTAGAGGTTAGGATGTGAGACAGTGCCAGGGTTACTCTGGTGGGTGGGAAGCGAGCGTTGGGCTTGTGCTGCAGGCGCGGGCGCAGGCTTCGATCCGTAAAAGTTGTTGCCTGAAATAGCGGTAGGCTGTTGATCGGCAGGCCTGTTTTCTAGAGCTTCGGGCTGTCCAATCTTTTCGAGCTCACCGTACTGGGAGAGAACCTCGAGGTCCATGATGATCAAGATGCTGAGCATATGTCAGAGCTGTGCTTGGGGGAATTGCAGAGTGTACGCACTTTTTTTCCTTGACACGCTGGGGGTTATATTTTAGCAGTCGTACAATGGAGCCTTTCCTGAGCTGTCCGGACATGACAACATTATTGGCAGCTGCAGACATGTCAGCTACATGGTCGTCTTATCCGGGCGTGACTTACACGTCGCAATCATTGTCTGGATGAAGTTGCGAATGTCACTCAATACTACACGAAAGCGCTGTGTTGCGCCCGAGTCGCCCACTTTTGGATCCATTGGCTTGATCTGTACGCATTGCATGACCGGGTGCTGCACGGAGCAGCCGCCGGGTTGGAAGATGCTCCTGCATGGTGTTAGTGTACGTAGCAAAGAAACGAGTGAGGCATGTATGTATTACTGGATGGCACCCTGAGTAATAGCTTCTTCTGCCATGTCGATGGTGGCGTATATATATGTGTGTGTCTATGGTGTGGGTGTGGGTGGTGGTGGTGGTGCGAGTGGTGGCGGCACGGCCAGGTAGAGGGAAAGCGCGTCGACGCGTCTTGTCGACATCACGTGACTATCTGGCCCCGCACATGCGCTAGTCCGCAAGCAACTGTGGCAGGCGGGGGCGACGTAATCGGCTTGGACCCTTGGGTGTTCCGGGTAGCTGGGCTTCTGCTACTGTACAGTCAGCTCAAGCTCCAACGGTCAAGATCAACTTGGGCCTGCTTTCACTCACAAGATCCAAACATACATGATGGCTGACAAGGATATCGCCACACGTGCGCCAGAGAGCGATGCGCAAGAAAAAGCCCAGGACTCAGGGAGCGTCTTTCCTGGCGACACGCCGGCACAAGCAGGACCAAGCATGGGTGTAAGAATGGGCACCAAGTCTCGGTATCCCAATGATGCATACTGACAGCTTAGGAACACTGCACCACTGACCGTCCCATAGCCTCTGGCGAGAAGCCATCCGGTGACCTTACAAAACTTGGCGGCGTGGAATGCTATATCGCGAAACCCGCCGACTACCCTCACTCGCCCTCGAAACTTCTTCTCATGCTCACGGGCGGCACAGGCGTCAAGTCGACCAACAACCAGCTACAGGCTGACAAGTATGCGGCCGAGGGCTATCTCCGTCGTTATGCCGACCAGTTCGACAACGACCCGGCGCCCAACAGCGTCGACATGACGGAAATCTCACAGGAAGCTTCCTGGCTCGAGTCGGTCAAGCTTAGGACGGGCAGAGGGCATCAAGTCATTCATGATCGACATGTGGCTCGCTCGTCATACCCCAGAGAAGGTGCTTCCGCTGCTGAATAAGGTGGTTGAAAGTGCAAAGGAAGAGTACGCAGACGCTGTCGCAAATGGTGGGGGCATCTATGGCGTTGGCTACTGCTTTGGTGCCAAATATATCCTCATGCTTGCTTCCAACCTTCCCGACACGGTCGCATGGGGAGAAGAAGCACCCAAAGATGTAGAGCAAGGAACCGCCAACAAGGAGCCTGTCCTAAGGGCTGGAGCTATTGCACATCCGACCATGACAACCAAGGAGGATCTCGAGGCTGTCAAGTCGCCCGTCTACATTGCCGCCGTCAAGGATGACCCCATGTTTTCAGAAGACGAGGCACTAACACCTGGTCGAAGAAGCATGGAGGCGAATAAAGTTGAGCATGAGATTCACGTCTTCTCTGGCGTGCCCCACGGCTTTGCCGTCTATGGAGACTATGAGGACGCCAAAATCAAGCAGTCACAAGCACAAGCTTTCGGCCAGATGCTGGGCTGGATACAGTCCCACTAGCACTGTTCCTACTGCTTTCGCTTCGGCATCAAAATCTCATCAATCTTCCTCATCATTCCCCCGCTTCGCCCATGTTGTTGGCCGGCTTGCTATGGCGTTAGAGTGGGTTAGGGCTGGCAGAAGCCACATTTGAATATTATCACGTTATGCTCTCTTCAAACTTGGACCATATTGATTCTTCGTCTTCTTGATTGACTCTCATAATTGCTACTTCACAATACATCATACACCACGCCCTTTCTCTCACCCATTCATTTCCCCACATTGGTAAACCGCAGATACTTCTTAACCTCCCTCACCTCTCCAAATTTCTTCCGAGCATCCTCGGTACTAACACTTGGCGGAACAATAACATCCTGTCCCTTTTGCCAATCAATCGGTGTCGCTATCCCTTTAGCATCCCCTGTCTGTAGGCTATCAATCACCCTCAATACCTCCGCCGTGTTCCGCCCCGTGCTCGCCGGATACGACATGGTAAGTCGGATCTTCTTGGCCGGGTCGATGATGAAAACGGAGCGGATAGTGAAGGCGATGCCGCCGTTCTTTTGCAGACCGTCTAGGTCATCTTGTGATATCATGTCGTAGAGAAAGGCAATGTGGCGGTCGGCGTCGGCGATGATGGGGAATTGGACCGTTGTGTTGGAGGTTTCGTTGATGTCAGCGATCCATTGGGAGTGGGAGCTTAGGTCGTTGGCGCTCTGTGATGAATAAGTCATTAGATTGATTTACTTTGCGATGAGAAATTGCGAACTTACAAGACCAATCATTTGAACCCCTCTTGCATCGAATTCATCTTTCAATTTGGCAAACGCACCGAGTTCGGTTGTGCAAACTGGTGTAAAGTCGGCCGGATGCGAGAATACTTTGTTCCTAGGGTCAATAGCAAAACTATGATATCTATTCCAATGTAACATACAGATCGTCCACTTGTTGTCCAAGAATTTGTAAAAGTCCATGTCTCCATGCGTAGTCTTTGCCTGGAAGTTCGGCGCTAGAAACAAACCCAATTAGCCACGACTCTCCCCTCTTCGTCCAAACCCTTATCTAAATCATACCAACAGATCCCAACCTCAACCTTGGTTGCTCAGCAGGGAGCACAATACCGCGACGTAGCAGTGGGGCTGCTGCTGCTGCGGGACGCAGCCCGGGACGCGCGGAACAGTGAAGAGCACGGGAAGCTGCGCGGGGGACAAAGGAAGACATTGTGTGCGAATCTTTATGATGAAAAGTATAGACTAGAGTATAAATATAAATTATTCCTGATGTCCTGACGTATTTTGATGCGAACCGAATGTCGGCATGTCGGTTTTGGGATGGCGTCATTTTGGATCAGAGAGGTCCCCACTCGAGTTGTTCGGTCCGAAGTCGGGTGAAGGGACTCTCAGCTCTTTGTCTGAAGTCATTGTTTTGTATGCTTACATATATGCCTGTAATTACATTTGTGCTTAGGAGCCATGTATGAATAATCTCTTACTATACTAGCAAAGGACAAGGTCCAAGAACAAGCACAATAACTACATGAGACAGCCCGGATAAAGATGATTACATTAAGTGAGCACTAGTGTAATTGTAGCTTCCAAACTTCATTCTATTAGCAGGTAGTAGGATGAACTTATATTTACAGTATCTTTCTCACTGAAGGGTCTGAGACATGAATCTTCCATATCATACTCCCGGCAATAGCGTTCACCAACCCCTCCATATCAAACCCAGACTCCCAGCTCAAAACAGTCCACCAAACACCACGCAATTGCAACACATTCAGTTCCCATTCACCCCATCTAGCAACCCATGCACCTGCAATAACCTATTATACTTCCCCTGCTGCGGTTCCACCAGTTGCTTGGCCGCCTCAGCCCCAACCACAGGCAGCATCTTCAACCCTTCCCCCTTCATCTTCTTTGGCACCACCTTCGGGTCCAACAACCCCACCTGCACCAGCACAGAAGCCTGATCCCAATACATATGCTCGCTCACCAACTTATCCCCTCTGACCGCCACAACACTCACCATAGCAACCTCGACACGCTTATGTGTCGCCTTGACCCCCGGTAGTATCCAATCCACCTCGTCCGAATGCGTAAACGACACCACCATCTCATCCACGATACGATTCACGCCCATGGTCCGTGAAACAAGTCTAATCTCAAAGTCCGGGACGAGACTTGGAACGAAGAACTCACCATAAAACTCTGCCAGCTTGCGCCGTCCCACGCCACCTTGCAATGTGGGCAAAACCGTCACGTGTGGACTGTCTTGCGTCATGTTCTTGATGATATCCATGCTTGCCCGGTCTGGGTCGTCGTCTTCGAATTTGGCATTCCAGTGGGCTTGGGCCAGGGGTTCGAGATCGAGGTTCTTACCGAAGCCTTTGCGGACGCAGGATAAGGTGCGTGTCCATGCGAGGTTGGCTTCTACTGTTTCGTATGCTGGAGATGCCGGGTCCGCGAAGCCAGTCGCACATTTTTCGTACCGGTACAGTTTCCAGGCGCACATGTCTGGTCGCGGACTCGTTTGGCTACGGCCTGCAATGTGAACTTGGAGTTGATGCGAGTTTGGATACATGGTCTTTGGGCTGGGCAGTACGGTAGGGTAAAAAGCAATAATTGCACAACATTTGGCTAGAGGTTTCTGTGCCGTCTTGAGCACTACGCTTGCTGCGTCGCCGTATGCTATTAGCGCATAATGCTCGCCTAGGTTGAGCGTCGAGGATAGCGCCTTTACGCTTGCAATGTACTCTGCCTGTGACTGTGTGCGCGCATCGTACGGCAGAAACCGTGTATCGTAGCCTTCTTCGCGCCAGGCTAGGAGGGCTTTTTCTGGTGCGGGAAGCGCGCAACTGAGGTAGATGCGTGGGAGGCCAGAGTTGAAAGTTAGGAAGCCGCCGCGGCCCGGGCGGTCGTCAAACGATGTTATTGACATGTCGTTTTTTTGCTCTTTCCCCCAAGTAGATGACCGGATTTCCTGCTACTGGGGCTTAGTTCGAAAGGCCGTTGGTTGGCTAGAAAGTTTGACGTTTGACGTGGATTTAGAGGGGTGGGGGGACTGGACTGCAAGTGGCCTTGCACGCCACAACAACAATTCAAATGGCAGCAGCACGGTGCTGGGCGCTCCGACGGCATTTATTTCCCGCCGTCTCCACTACCTTGTGAGGCAGATCCTGGTCCTATACCTGGCGTGTTCAGACTGGGCGACCAAGTTTTGAAGCACAAGCTTTGCTGGCAAGAAAAGCTCCGAGCTTTCCAATAATGCGGCCTGACGTCATATTCGAGATGCGTGAAATGGCGGGGCGAGTAGATGTCAAAGTTGTCTCGGGAAAGTCTGGCGCGATCAGTTTTACTTGTTTAGCAACGATGAATGTAGGGATCGTGTTTGTTTTGTTTTGTTTTTGTTGTGATGTTTGGACAAGAGTTGAAGCAGCTTTGTAAAGACTTGTTGTTGTCATTTGAGTATGCACTCCACAATCTTTTTCATCTTGACCTATCTGACCTCCTATTGGCAAGATACGTCTACATCAACAAATATAACGCTTTGACCTTTATGAGATGCGATCATGTACTGACTTCGATCTTGGACCCGTTGGCACTGCTCAATTATACCTTTTTGCGAGTGTTGCGCTTTCATATCGCTTTCTAATCGCATCTACTGCAGCAATCATGCAATAAAGCTGCATGTCGGGAGTTTGTACTCGTTGAGCACCCAGTACTTTCTCCTCACCCCCTCCCACTCGCCCTTGTCGTCTAGATTCGGCACAGCTATTGTCTCCCACTCCGTGTCGAAGCCCGCCTCAAAGAGATCAAACTCAACAATCTTGTTATAAACATCGTACACAATCTGTCGATCTGCACCCATGCCGTTGAAGAAGCCAAACTTGCCTCCTTCGCGGTCTGGACCTCCAGCGGGATCTAGTAGTCCAATGACATACTCGGTGAAGAACTCGCGCAAAGCCTTGTACTCTTCGGCGAAGGTGTCAAAGTAGATGCCATCAAATAATTCGCCCTTTTCTATTAAATTGGGAACAATGTCTTGCCAACGCCCTTCATGTATGATGAGCCCTGGCCTTTTGTCCCACTCCTGATCTTTCATGCGCTTGATAACGTCTGGGTGTGCTTCGATGATATGATGGGTCTTGGGCTTCTTTTCTTGGAGAATACCATCGATAATCCCCATGCCATGACCGATGTTCAATATGCGCAGTCCTTCTGTTGGCGCCAGCAGCTCAGCTGACGTCCGCATCAAAGTAGTTTCCCACTCCATCATGACACCGTTTGAAGAGTCGTCTAATAGCCGATCCCGATCGAAGGTGAGTTTCGATGCGAGATAATTTGGGTTCTCTGTTGACTCGTCACCCGGTATATCTTCTTGGCCTATATCTATCACCTCAACGCAGTCCGTCACCTCTGCAACCTTCTCTTCGTCTTCGTCTTCTTCTTCCTCGTCGTCCTCGTCGTCATCTCCAAGGAGCTGGTACTGCTCCATACGACTCAGCAGCATTTCAGCACGCACACCAGCATCGACACATAGCTCGTATAGTTCCTTCAGACCTAATCTGCGCGCTATACATCCTGGCGTTTCCCCGTTTGTATCTAGGTCGTTCCAAATTGCGCCATTTTCAAACAGAAACTTTACTGTCTTGACGGCCGCCTCAAGTTCCTGCTTCTGTTCCTTGGTCGCATCGGTCACGTCTCCGTTGGTTGTGTTTGCATTTTCTTGGTCGGGCTCACAAGCGGCAATGGCAGCGTGTAGAGGCGTGAAGCCTGTTTCCGAATCTTGCACGTTTGCAGATGTGTTGCGCAGAAGATTGCGAAGAGCGCCAATGTCGTGATTTGCAGCAGCCAGCAAGATGCTTTGAGTTGAGAGGTCAGTTTGCGTGTCGAATTCTGGATCGTCCATGTTGGGTAGTTTAGTTAACAGGGACGAGATTTGTATTGTGCAAGAGGGTGTGGAGGGGAAGGTGGGGCTAGGAAATTTATTGGGACGCGAGTCATGCAGGGTCCAGCCAAACAGGATCTCATGTCAACACAGCTGCATTCGACATGGCAGTTTTTCTCTCGAAAGAATAGATTGGCGTTTGCTTCGATAAATTCACGCATGTCCTCTTCCTACTTATCATATCAACTCAACATCCCCCGTCCCACAGCCCACACACCACTGTCTCACAGCACTCCATCTTACAACCCAAACATCCCCCCTCTTCAACTCAAATTTCTTATCCGCGCCCTCTACATAAACTTGGCCTACATCAGTTAGTGCACGCACAAACACGGCTTTGTCTTCGTCTGGCCTATTAACCATGCTAACTCCGCCCGTCGTGTCATCGATGCGCTGGAGGGAGGCTGGGAACTGGGCGAGAAAAGAGGCATTATAGTGCGAAGAGAGGAGGGCCTGGTGCGATTGGAGGTATTGATATTCAGCGGGAGAGAGGAGCGGGGTAGGTGTGTCGAGCGATGTATTGTGTAGAGATTGTATGTGGAGTGGGTGTGTATCGATCTGGAGCATGTTCATCAGTCTCGCATAAAGGTGATGATTCACACGAGATAAGTGAACAGATGGTGGTATTTACCTTTTTTATCCTAGCCCTCAATAAACTTCGAACGAGAAACTTGAAGCGCTCCAACTCGGTTTGTATAATGATCAATCGGAAGTTTGTTTTAGGGTCCATATTTCCCGTCTGCTCTTCCACGAGCTCAATCTACAAGCTAGCGTTATTAGTATAAAAAAACGGCTAGACGCTACTATGTAGACCTTGTATAGAAGTGTTGGACTAACCTGTCGTGCAATTCGTCCAAGGACACGAGTCATAAGCTGCTCAGGCCATGGTAAAATCTCTGGAGCCACACGCTCAGCGACCCAGCACCGTGTCAATTCCTGCAAATCGCGTGTCTCCTGGGGTGTGCAGTCGACCGACACCTCTGCCAGCAGATCGTCAATGTCCATGCCCGGTATTGGAGGACCGAGCGTATGCAGCAACAGTAGCGGTATAGAGTGGGCGCTGACGTGAGGGAGGCGACGGGAAGGCGCGTAGTAGACGTATGCGTGCGTGTGCGTGTATCGTGCGTCGTAGCCGTTGTATACCGAATGCGTAACATGCGTGACCCGAACAAAACAATCCTCATCACCGATCCCACGGCTACCACGCTCGATTGACGTGACGTACCGGTACGTCAAAAGTCACGGATGCCAAATGAACCGACACAAGCAACCGACAAGCAACAGGTTCAGTTTGAGATGAACACGGCTGTTATCTACCTGCAAGGATGGAAAGCAAAGCCTGACGCAGGTCTTTTTTCTTTTTTTTGCAGCTTCACCGGTTCACTAAGGTAAAGGTGTCCATGTGCAGTGCGTTGTCGTGCATGAGGCTGCATAGCAGTGCATGGCAGATTGTTTTTAGGTGGGGCAAGGATAGCTGCATCAGCACTTCCCCCGCATTTGCATCCGGCTAGCGTGTCAAGAACGCGTCGCTTAGCTTGGACGCGACCGACGTGTCGTGTTGACCGGTAGCGGGACGGCTGAGAAGAAACAAGTATACAAACTACTCGACCAAACCCCAACCCCGGGACCGCCGCGTTATCAAGACATTCGTGGTCATAGTGTCTCAACATGCTCACCATGAGTCCAACATTTGCCCTTCCCTTTGTGTCGCTCAACGTATCAGTGTAAACAATGTTAGTAAACAATCACAGACTGGCAACATACTCGACACCCAACACGAGGCAAACACACACGCATGATTTGTCTTGATGAATGAGTATTATTTTTTGCTTATTTGCCTAATCAGGAGCAGACTGCTACAAGCCATCTTCATCTTGCTCGCGCTCGCGCTCCGTACTAGGACAAAGTACACCATCACCCATTACCCCTCCACATTTCTGACCTGTCGTCTCTGTGTAAACACAAACCATCGACCAGTAGAAATTACAAGAAGCGACAAGTGATAAAGTACATTGGAAATGGCTGCAGGACACGCACACACAAAGGATACCGGGAAGAAGACTCTTAATAGGAAATTAGGATGCCGTGTTGGTAATGACGGTTGTATCGGCACGTAGGCCTTGGTTGTATTTGTCTTTGATGATTCTTAGATTCTTGTTCTGAGAAGGTATGCGAGCCTTTTTCAGCTTCGCAGTGACCATAGGAAGATCCGTTGGAGGATGGTTGGTGGTAAAGACAAAGGAAATTAAGGAGCGAGCGAGGCAGTCATCTGTTTGCTGCCAATCGCTCGCCGTAGACAAGATGGGTATCCAGTAATCCCTCTCGTGAAATAGTAACTGATGGCCGGGCCCACGGCTCCGCGACATGGGGTATAGAAACGAAAATGGGGACAGGACACCCCAGGTTGCAGGACCAAACTGCTTCTTTTGGTCAAATCCGGTCGCTGATGCAGGACAAAGGGAATCGCTTGAACGCCGTGGTAATGGAAAGAATCAGAAGAAAAAAAGGGACCAAACGCCAATGCTTTGGGGATCCAATGCTGATGCAGCAATCATGGAATAACGCCGTGAATCAATCCTCCGTAAGTTGGGTTATTATCGTTATAGTCGACCAGAAGCCGATGAGTGGGTTTAATACGAGGCCAGGCGCCGGGAGGACACACGGCCGACTTCCAAGGAGTCATTCCCAAGGGAGAAGATGTTGTTTCCGCTTCTTGAGCGGCCCATGGCAGTAGGGCTGTCTTCCATCTGGCAAGGTTGACCAAATGTAAAGGTAGTAGCACGGTTGAGTTTGGCACGCGACTTAAACTTGAGTTTATTAAGGCCGCGTTCGCACGACTGTTCATGCTCTTTGGCGTCCATGCGAAGGTAGTTCTGGGGGTAGCAACGGGTAGCATGGGCATGGTAGAAGGAGCTGTAGCCGCCATCGAGAATGTAGACTTCAGGAAATGAGAGCATGGGATACTGATGGGCGTTCTCCTTGCGGTCTTGAGAGCGAACAAACTTGGCCCTGGTATTGTTAGCTGATGAAGGCGAATGTGCCTGGACAGGGCGACTTACATGAGAGGTGCACGATGGGCAGAGTATTCGCAGTGAAGCACAAGTAGTGTGTTAGCACTCGAGGGAGCTTGGAACAGGCGTTCGGCAAGCTTCTCCTTGTCACAGAAGTTCAAGGCACCTTCAATGTGTCCACCATTGTATTCGTACTCGAAGCGGCAGTCAATGACGACCTTGTTGTCATACAAGTGATCGTATGCACCATCCAGCACTTGGACCAATGTCTCGTGAGTAATGCGAGGGAGGCTCTCCGGCTCGCTGGTGGTGAAGTGGGGAAGTTTGAGCGGGTTGGCATCATCGACGTCCATGACGGACTGAAGGCCGCTGGGCTGGTGGTTGCTGTCCTGCTCTTGTTTGGCATTCATGACATCACCGGGGTGTTCGAACATGCTCAATGATCTGCGGAACTTGCTTGGGCGACGCGACGAAGGACCAACAGGCTTCCTCACCGAAGAGAGGGGCGAGCCGGTGGACGAGGTGGAGCTAGCAGCAGAGTTGAGGCGGAGCGACTTGGGCCTGGAGGAAAACAGCGAGCCATTCGACGTGGGGCGGCGGTCCTGGGGAGGCGAGGCAGCGAAGCACTCGTCCAGCGACGGCGTCTGGTTAAAGTCACCACATCCAAACTGGAAGGCGGGCAGCGGAGCGTTGTCTTGGTCCTTGAAAGAGACCGAGTTAGTAGTGTAGTTCTTTGAGCGCGAAAGCGATGGGCGGAGGAGAGCGGACTTTCGGCGACTACGTGATCATGTTAGCAATTGCATGCGGCCAATTGACCGGTACTACTAACTCGGCAGCAGACACGGGTCTTGGGACCTCGAGCGGCGTCGGCGTCGGGTATGTGGGCGGGGTGTCGGCGTCGTCACAGGGCGTCAGCATGTCGCTGTCGCTACCGGGGGTGACGTCGGGAGAGGGCGAGGGTAGCGGCAGGGAGCGGTCACGGTCGTTGATGAAGCTAAAGGGGGCTTTGTGGGGCAGGGGCGAGATGTCCATTGAGTCTGGAGCGAAGCCGGGCGAGGACGAGGGGATTGGCGGAGTCGTGACGCCCTCCCATCGGGCTAATGGGGTCGTGATTTCCTTTGGGTCGAGCTGGTGAAACAGGTTCGAGGTGAAGAGCGAGCGGCGGGGCGTGGCAAGCTGGGGGCTGCAATCGAGACAAAGAGGGTTAGTAGTGCAAACGGATGAGATGCAAGGGAGTGGTGGTGTATTCTACCTTTGGTCCATGTGCAGGTTGCTCGACATGTCGGCAGCAAGACTGGTAGTGGGCGAGGAACCTCGCATTGGCTGCAGGGTAAAGTAGTCCCCCCCACTGCTCTTCTTCATGCTGAGGTCTCTGAAATTGAAGCTCTTGGGCCCTAGGCTGTGGGCACCGACAAACAGTGGTTTTGAAGGCAGGTCTCGGCGGTAGCCCCAGGGGCCTGGGATGGGCGGTGCATGCATGGCGGCGAGAGGCGACGACATTTCCATGGTCGTGTGGTCGAAGGTCGTGGTGGGCGTGAATGTAGGTGTGCGCGTGGGCGTCGTCGTACCGGGCAACCGTCGGAAACGAGCGATTGCTGAGGTATAGGTAGAGGTGGAGGTGGAGGTGGATGTGGATGTGGATGTGGATGATGGGATGGATAAGCATACAAAGACGGAAAAACTAATTCCAATCTGAAGATGCTCGCAAGCTCTGCACAAAGCTCAAGCTCGCGCTCGTCGAGGATGCGTGACCGTGGGGAATTGGGCTAGTGACTGGCTCCGGGCATGGATGCGAGTGGGCTGCTTAGGGTGAAGGGAGGTAGCGACTGCTAGATGGATATCCAAACAAGCGACCGTCGTCCAAGATCCTCAGCCAACTTAAGGGAGGGGAACTGGTCCTTCTTGGGTGCGAGAAGGGTAGAGAAGAAGGAAGGCGGGTCGGTCACGCAGCTGGATTTGAGCATGCCATGGTTGCTGGGGTAGCCCGTAGCCGGCTGCAGCGAGCTTAGGGCGGACGACCAGGGCCAGGACCTCCAGGCTAAGCGCTGGCACAGGCAGCGGAGGCCTGAAGGCTCTCGCACGGGACGAAAGAAATATACTGGGTACTGGAGTTTGCTTGCGGAGCCTATGCACAAGCCCATCTACTACTGCCTCTAATGCCGCCGCAGGTACACCGCCCGCTGATTTGATCGCGCCATGCACACCAGCGCTGCAGCTAGCCGTGTGTAAACAGAAGTTCGCATCTTTGGGAAAGAAAAAGACATGTAATCCATTCCCTCTCATCGTCTGCATCGACTTGTCCTCTGCGTGGTAGCATGTCCAGCTACATGCACTGTACCGTGTCTCATCTCCATCTGACAGCTGCTGCTTCATCGCAGCCAGCCCTCCGCCTCTATTTCTGCATGCAGCCCGGCAGCCAGCGCGTTGCCAGAGAAGCAACGCCCTAGCTCCACCATGGCAGACCCATGCGAACAGGATGCTCCCTGCAACCTCGCAACTCGGCATGGTACGTGAAACCATGAGTTCCTTCTCCGCTTCTGTGGCTTCGGCTTTGGCTTTGGAGACGACTCGTTGTAAGTGGCTGCAAGTCCATCGACGACGCAGCCGTGGTGCGTCTCGCAGTGGGCCCCGTCTAACCTGTCTGCGTAACATGTCGACCGTCTCCGAGGATACCGGCTACCAAACACTACGGGCTCCCGGATACCTGCACTGCACTATGACATGTCCAAAGTGACCGGTACCGATCATCTCTGCCTACCAACTATCTACACCCGCTAGACTGCCCGCTACCCAACTACTACTACCCCGACAGAATCAAAAAGTGTCCAATGCAATTCAAAATCCCCTCAAGTCGCCGTCAACAGAGGCTCTGAGCGCGCTCCAGAACCTGCTCCATCATGTCCCACCCAAGGTCCGAGTTGCCCTGACGTCGTCATTCGTAAACATAGCATACCATCGTCTTGGCCCTCGTCCTGCCAGGGAACCGGCTTCCAAGTCACGATGCTCCAGATGCTCGCTGCTGGCCCTGATTGGCTGCATCCTGTGACAATCTACTCTCAGGGCGAGCGGGAGATTTCCTCTCATCCTACATAGCAACGAGACCGACGTCGCAGCCGCCAGGCTTACGTCGTTGGCGGTTGCTTGCTGCGAACAACATCCCGGCCCGTTCGCTCTCTGATCGCTCTCAGCTTGGGCTTTGGCACGCCCCAAACGGCGGCATAAAACCGGACTTCCCACACTACCCATCTTAGTCTCATGCCCGCGATCGAACTGCTGCTCTCACCATCTCGATGGCGACATGCGCAAAACGTCATAGCCAATAAGGCTGAGATGAGTTTCCCAGTTTGCTAAGAATAATCATCCCCTTTGCACCCGCTTCTGCACAAGTCCATGCAACAACACTCTCCTCTCAACCAGCTACCCTCGCCCCAGGGCCCGTCACAACAAAGACGGCTGCGGCTGCGCAATTACCTACTCGGAGCACCCGGGGGAGGGAGGGGCGTCATTGCCGCCAAACCACGCCAGTTGCGAGCTGAGTCGTTGTTCGAGAACGGCGCCTCTCCCCTAACCTCACCGACTGCATAAAACCTTCATAAACGGGCACACGATCGCCTGGACCCCACCACCAACGGCCTGACCCCTCCTTTAGTGGACCGAAAGCCCGCCAAGTTGCAGCGCTTGTGGCAAGCGCTGATAAAAACCATGACCTCGTCTCCAGGTGCGACGCGTCGAGCTCCCGTACACAAACAACCGTGTGCACGCCATCACCTGACCTATACAGGCCAAGCCCTCGCTCACAACAGGGTCCGTCATATACCCCAGACCTCGGGACCCGCCCACGATGCCGTCTACGGACGCTCGCGTTTCGAGACCCTGAGTATCGGTGCAAATGGCCAGAGCTTAAGCTCAAAGTCTTTGTCACCGTCCCGGCACCTGGCCGCACGCCTCCGAGTCGTGGTGCTGCAAAAAGTACATCATGGTGGGCACATTGTGAAGAAAACAAGACGAAGAAGAAATCTCTGTATTGCCGTTACCACCCTTGCCCGCCTGATTCGTTCACACCCCGGATACATGCCGTCACTCATCATCAAAAGAGAGGTGTGCCCACCACTCACACTTTTCGTTTTCGCCAGAGTCAGCTTCCCCGATAGACTACTACTAGGTACTAGATACACATGCGTAGTCATGGTCACAACGGGTCAGACGTGCCGCTTCATTCCGCCGCTGTGTCGGTGTTGCACATCAAAGCCGCTTTCGTCCATATTAGGATCCGCCTAGAATAATATACCTCAAGGGAACACTGGTTTCATCACCGCATGCGGTTCGCTTACGCCCTCGCAACCGGAAGGTCGCTACCTGACACAGCGGGACGCTGTGACACCCCAAGACCTTCCGACATGCGGGGACGAGATCCGGTCAGCAGTGGTTAAAGCATCGTCGGATTCGCAACAAGGCAGTTTGTCGTGTTTCGAATTTCTACCTGCGGGGTATTTGCAATGTCTCAAGCCTGGTGATGGCATCGGTGTCGTCGTATGCAAACTCGCTTCCATAAGCCACGATTCAGTCATCGCATTCGGCCAATTCTCCCATGACTGTTGCCATGGCGATGCATGGGGTCCGCTGTGCCTCATGTGTACCTGGGCTGTTCGCACAACTTTCCGACCAACACACCACACCGTCAGCCCTCGCGTTGGCGCGTGCAAAAAGGAGAAGCACACGATTTTTCAATGGGCACCTACCAGCCAATCTCGGTACCATCTGCACAGGCGCACATGTCCCTCCAGCCATTGAACACGTCGGACATTGTATATCAAAAAAATCTCGTCCAATGATGCAATGGCTGAATCGCTGCCGCGGTCTCGATCAATTGATGTTCACATTCATACTCAAGCTAATCCAAGTCTAACATGTATCCAGTGCCACTTCCCGACACCCCCTTCTGACAAGCCGAGTTTTGTTGAGACGTTGCTCATTTCTATTGAATTTCTCACCACCCTACCCAACCTTGCCAAGCTTTATTGCTCGTTACGGGTTGTGCGCATCCTGCAAAGGCTACTTCCACGCGTTCGCCTAAAGTGGAGCCTCGTTTCAATAAAGCTCAGTTGTTGTTTCAATACATGTTATTTGCAGACACATGGTATACTTGCTCATCATACTGTAGGGCCTGGTCGCTCGCTTAAGCACGTTCGAGATCCTGTCCCCATTTCTCAAACGGCCAGGAGTGCATGGCGGTGTGTAGGGTACTATATATACCGGACCACTCTTCCCTCCTCTGACATGTCATGGAACTCTTATATAACATTTTGTAACCACGTGCGTTGAAAAATTGCGACATGTTTCGAGTTTAATCTAGGTTTGAGCGTTGCAAATACCTGGTTATAATTGCCACTACCACCACTTTCATCTAACTTTCCTCTTCATTGTAGTCATAATTGCCATTACTGATACCATTCGTCATGGCCAGTCCATTCCGCGCCCTATCCTCATGCTGCACCACGCTTAGCGGCAGTCCCTTGCCCACACCAAACAGCACAAACGCCGCCCATTTCCACCTAAGCGGATTAATCGCAATCGTAAACAAGAACCAGTAGATGAGCTCAGAGTATGTGAAGAAGTCGAAAGCACCACCCGGTGCTTTGCTCTTGATGAATCGTGTAAAGTCTATCCAGCGCTTCATCCACCTTATCTGCGGTCGTGCCAACGGGTCAACGAGGTACATGAGTAGAAAGCGCGTATAGATTCCAATGTGGTAGTTTCTTATGGTGCCAATTGCATTCACGTACGTGCAGTTGTTGGCGCAGATATCCGGATAGTCGAGAGGAAAGACTTGCAGGTACCAGTTTGGTGGTTCGTAGGGTTCCTTGAAGACGTCTGCTGGGAGGAAGTTTAGGGATGGGCGCTTGTAGCCTGTGGCCATGATGACAATGTCCGCTTCTATCATGTGTTCGACACCAGGACCGTTTTTGGGTACCCCTTGGGCGCGCTTATTGAACCTGATGCCTTTTCCACATGGGTCGTAGCCGTTGATGTCGCCGCGGAGCCAGGAGGCGCGGCCGCAGCGGATGAGGTCAAGGACTTGATCATTTACCATCGGTGTCTCAGTGAAGAGGCCTTTGCCGCTGTTGGGTGGGGGCGATATGTCGTACAGATCGCGGTAGAAGAAGAGGCGCAAGATGTACTCTGGAATCCATGAGAAGATTGTTTCGCTGCCAAAGACGTTAAATGCCAGAATGGCGTCGACAAGCGGGTTCCGTGGGATGATCCATTTGTCGCTGCGGGCGAGTATATTGGTGTGTTCGGCTTCCTGGCTGGCAACGAATTCCAGAGCTTCGACTGCTGAGGCACCACCCCCGATAATGGCCACTTTCTTGCCTTTTGCTACCTTGCCGTCGAGTTTTGAACTATGCCAGATCTCGCCCTGGAAGTGCTCTTGGCCAGGAAGCGTAGGCATCTTTGCGTCACCACATGTGCCAATTGCCGCGATGACGCTATCGAAACGTCCATGAGACGGGTCGTTGATGATCCATCGACCATGAGGATCCTTGTAAACCTTTTCCACGCGCGTGTTGAACTCTGTCTTTGCTTCCAGGCCATAGCGACCTGATCTACGAGACGATTTGTTGGCGATTGGGATACCCCTTCTTCCAATGCACCGAAGGATGAAAGCGGTACATGATAGAATGAATCTGCAGACCAGACGTATTGTTCACCCGACTCCATATCCCGCCTAGTTCTTCCTTTGGTCCAGCCTCGAAAATGCGGCAGTCGAAGCCATGGCCTACAATATGCGATGCGGCCGACACGCCTGTTAGCCCTGCACCAATGACGGCAATCTTGGGCCGCACGAGATTAGGGTTTGGCGGTGGAGGTGTGGGTGAAAGGATCAGGTCGATTACTTGTTGGATGACCTGGTAGATGAAGAGAATGGGGTGAGTGAGAAAGTATGCCATATAGTAGCCCATGATGGAGAACTGGCTCTAGGGTGAAGGGACAGTACATGTGAAGATTGATACATAGAGTTCACTTCGGAGCTGCGCCTTGATTATACGATTGCACAGATATGCGTCATGTTTCGCATATTACCACTTGTGATGTCACAGTGGAGCTGTGGCATTAGGTGTGACATGTGAAAGCCCAGGGATGCTATTAGGAATATTGGGTACTTCAAAATCGTTACTGAGTTAGTCATATTGCTGGGGGTATGGGGTCTTGGGAAAAGGAATTGAGTCAAGACTTATTACTAAGCTTGCCTGCTCCATGAGTTTTAGTCGTCCAAAGTAAGGGACCGAGCGAGAGCCGTTTTCGATCACAATGATCGGTGACAGGGATGCTGCGGATGCTAAGCGAGGGCCCTTTGCATAGCTCCGCGACAGAGCTGCCACCCAGGTTTGACCCACGCCAACCACCAACGACGGCTTCTGTAGCCATGGCGTTTGTTCACAGTCTGGGCGATGTAGAGACGCGCTTGTGTACGGCCGTCAATGTCGCTATCCAGAAAGGAGATGCTCATGAACTTCAGTCGATCGTGCTCCTGGAGCCAGGCGAAGGCGGTGTATGGCCGCCCGACCATCAAGAACTCGTAGGGTCTTTGAGGACAAACTACCCTTACGAAGATGAAGACTCTGAACAGCGCCTCGAGGATTTGGTCAGGCGAGTTGTTACCGAGACGGCAGAGTCCGAGGACGAAGAAGGAAGGCCTGTGCAGTCGTGGAGTTCATTGGTTACATTTCTTGTTGGATGGATGACTTTCCTCCGAGATGTGGACATAGATGACCTTGTGTTGGTCTTTGAGTTGATGACAGATCTCCAGTCGTAAGTTCGGTATTGTAATGACAGTAAGAATTGTAAACTCACGTTACTCTAGGCGAGCAAACAGTGCGCTGCAGCACCCTACCAAAGGCATCATGATGCTTCCCACTATCATGTACTACGCCAAGGTGTTTGCACGTGTTGCCATTGGCTTAGACAAGAGGCCCGACCTAGCGCAAGAACTCATGGTTGAAGTAGACGAGGACGGCCAACGAGAGTCATTGCCAGAGAAGGCCGCCAATATTGTGCGACAGGCCTTTATAATATGCTTGAACGACCGCAACACTGTGCCCGGTGGAATCAAGGATGGAAAACCAGATGGCAAGAAGGTCGGTATCTACAAAATGGCGAATATTTGTTTGAGAACCCTCTTCCAGGCCGACAAGCTGGACAGCTGCGAGACCATCTTCAACAACATATCGAATTCTTCGCCGCCTTTACACATCTACCCAGCGGGAGAACGGATCACCTACCTTTACTACCTTGGTCGATACCACTTCAGCAACACCAACTTTTATGCAGCTCAACTAGTTTTGGAAATAGCATACAGAGATTGCCACCAGCAATGCCTACAGCAACGTCGCTTAATTGCGGTATTACTTGTCGCCGCCAACATTATTCTCGGACGAATACCAAATGAGATGGTTTATAGCGATCCCGCAAATGCCGGTTTTCGCGAAGCGTTTCAACCCCTCACCCAGGCCATTCGCAGAGGCGATCTTGAAACCTTCCGTCGAATCACCAACCTCGACCTCTCTCACCCAATCTCAGGGTTCATGATCAAGTACAACGTTTTCTACCCCGTCGGTAACTACTGTGAGCCGCTTGTATGGCGGTCGTTGCTTCGGAAAATCTTCATCCTCACTGCACAAGTAGGAGATAAGACCAATGCCGCTGCTCTTCTCGACCTCAACGCATGTGCCCATATATTTCAGTATCTTGAGACCCGGTCGCTCATCAAGAACGCCACAATGGCCGCACAAGCCCATGATCCTCGCCGCAGCATGGGTCATGTGTATCAGGACTACGCCTCAACAACAAAGTCTACGTACATTGATCCAGATTTTGAAGGTGTCGACGATGTTCACCCGTACACGCACCAATACGACGAATTGGAAATGGAGTGTATATGCGGTAGTCTCATCACGCAGGGATTCTTGAATGCGTACATCGCGCAGGCGAAGCAGAAGATGGCTGTTCAGGGTGTCAAGGGTGGGGACTTGAACCAAGGGTTCTTAAATCCATGGAAAATAAACAAGGAAAATAATGACGATGAAGTGCTTGGGTGGAAGAAGGAAGCCGGTGGTGACGGAGGAAAAGTCGTTCGGTTGTCGTTTGCTGCGCCAGCTGGGTCATAGAGTGATACCCATAGTTCTGTTTGGTTATAAGCAAGGAGACGAACCATTCAAAGGAGGCGGGTCCTAGGCTTACCCATTTTGCAAGATTGATATCTTGATCTCTTAACCAAGCGCTCCAACTTTGCCCGAACATCTCCTTGTATCTACATCTTGTCTCACTCTCCCAAGTTCTGGTCCATAATCAAAAGAGATCTCCATTGCGCAAGCTACATACGCACATGTACCCTCAGCACAAATCTTCAGCCTATATGTTTCTCCCTCCCAGACAAATAACATGAAGCACACATGTAAACATACCTGCCTCATGTCCACCCACCAAACACAAACCCACCGCCTAAACAACGGTACTATATCCGCCCCCAAAGCTCCTCCGTCCCTTCCATCTCACATAGGCCTTTCTTGCTTCATCCGCCCAAAAAACACAACTAGCAACGGCCAGCAAATGCGCAAGATCGCCCAACCCCAGTGCCTCAGTCTGAAACACACTTTGGAGCGGCGGGAAGTAAATAACAGCAAGCTGTCCCAGCAGACTCCCCGCAACAGCATAGTTGAACATTTTATTGTCAAAGACGCCGATTTCGCCTGCTAGGACAGATTTGGATGATGAGCGACAGGTCAGGGCGTTGAACATGTCGAAGAGGACGAAACAGGTAAATGTCATGGTGGTGTCGCGCGCGGTGACGAGGTTGTCAACGGACATTTCGCGGTAGTAGGTTGTGAGGGTGCCTATCATTATAATGGAAGCGGAAGTGAGGACACGCTGGATAAGGGGGCGGGTGAGGACGCGGGCGTGGCGTGGGCGGGGTGGGAGGGCCATTACGGAAGGGTCGACGGGCTCAACGCCAAGGGATTGTGCGGGGGGGCCGTCCATAAGGATGTCTGTCATGGGTGTTAGATTGAAGAGAAGAGGGGTGGGGAGGGAGGAGGACTTACTGATCCAGAGAATCTGCATGGCATTGAGGGGATTGGGAAAGCCGAGGAATGTGCTGACTAGAACTAGACTGAGTGCTGCTGCGCTGGTACTCAGTTGGAAAGTGAGGAAGTTTTGAATGTTGTAGAAGATGCCCTTGCCCTCTTCGATTGCATTGAGGATGGTGGCGAAGTTGTCATCTGTTAGAATCATGTCTGCGGCCTCCTTGGCTACATCTGTTCCCAGTCGACCCATTGAAATACCAATGTCGGCCTTTTTGAGTGCAGGAGCGTCATTCACACCATCACCAGTCATGGCCACGACGTCACCTCGCGACTGGAGCGCTCGGACAATCTTCATCTTGTGCTCCGGGCTAGTTCGCGCGAAGATTGAGGTAGTTGCGATAGCTTGTGCAAGCTCTTCCTCGCTCATACGATCCAGTTCATCACCGCGAATGACAGAGCGACCGATTGCTGAGTTTGCAGTAATTGGCATGCCTAGACTCTTGCCGATGGCGACTGCCGTCGTCTCCGCATCACCTGTAATCATAATCACCTTGACTTTGCCGGCCATCAAGCGCCTGATGGCTCTTTCTACACCCTTCCTCGGTGGATCGTTCATGCCCACCAGGCCAGCAAACACGAGGCCGCGATATTGATCATCATCGCCAAGAGCCGAGTTCACGGATGGCGCTGGTGAGGCAGTACCGCTGGCGTTCCTTTTCTTGGATTTGGACGCACCACTTGCGAAGCCGAGTACTCGTAACCCTTCTTGGGCCATTGAATCCGCGGCTTTGATCGCTTCTTGCTTGTGCGCTTGGTCCAAAACTACCTCTTTCCCTTGTGCTGTAACGTACGTGTCGCAACGGTCTAGGACTCTTTCCAGTGCACCTTTGATGTACGAGTGCTCCGCTCCAGGGGTGTGACTACCAGAGGTGCCACCGACTACAACACCCATCCACTTCCTCTCGGAACTGAAAGGTGTCTCAAACTTGCGCTCGCCAAGTCTCTCCCTGACATCATCTTCCTCAAAGGCATCCATGAGGTCGAGTAGAGCGACATCAGTGGGCTGGCCGACCCATCGGCTCTTAGCTAGAGAGTTGTCATCCCCTTGAGTTGAGGAAAGTACGGCAGCTGTAGAGGCTGAAGCAGCCTGGTCGCTTAGTAGGCGGGCATTGTTGACTATGTTGCCGATGCGTAGAATGTTGCGAGTTGGGGGGTCCAGATCGGCAGAATCATGCTTCTCCTTGACGTCAATTGGTGTTGACTGATCAAAATGCCATATCTTGGTGACTGTCATGTGGTTGGTTGTCAAGGTGCCTAGTAGCGGTCAGCGGGTGTGGTTGTGGAATGGATGGGTGACTCACCTGTCTTGTCAGTACAAACAACGTTGACAGATGCCAGAGTCTCTACGCTGGGCAACCGTCGAACTATAGCGTCGCGCTTTGACATTCTCAGGACGCCCAGTGCGAGGGTCACGGTAACGATAATAGGCAGGCCCTCCGGAATGGCAGCGACTGCGAGCGAAACAGCAATTTGAAAAACCTCGAGAAAGTCCCAGCCCCGCCATAAACCCACCATGCCGATGAATGCAATGACTGCGAAAGACATGTAACTCAGATCCTTGCCTAGCCGATCCATGGAAAGCTGCAGAGGGGTGCGGGGGCTTTCGATGGCCTGTAATGAGGCAGAGATGGCACCAAACTCAGTATTGGCGCCAGTTCCAATAACGATGCCTTGTCCGTAACCCGATCTAACCAATGTACCCATGAATGCAATGTTCTTCTGGTCGTTGAGCCGGATATCTGCGCCCACCGTGCCCGCGGCCTCGGACGAGTAGAAAGGCGAAGGCGAGCGTAGGGTAGCCGACGGGGGTGCAATGGCATCCATGAATTTGGATACGGGCTCGTTCTCTCCAGTCAAGTTGGACTCGTCGATGCTGAGGTCTGCGGCATGGGTGATTCGAATGTCTGCCGGTATGCGGTCGCCGGTGTGGAAGAGGACCAAGTCGCCGGGAACCAACAGGGTGGCAGATATGGTTGCAGACATCCTCTCGGCTGCGGCCAATGACGACGTCGTGTCTTTGAGGGTATCCAATTCTATATCTTCAGTCGGCGGCCCACTGGGCGTGCGACCAGGGCGTGGCTGCTCTGTGCCGGCGCGGATGACATGTGCAGAGTGCGGAACCAGCTGGCTCAGCGCCTCTATCGACTTTTCCGACCGGTATTCCTGTACAAAGCCTACGGTGACGACGATTGTCACGGCTACGGTTATGCTGACTCCGTCGTCCAGATTACCCATGAGGAAGGAAACAGCGGCGGAGCCCAGTAGCAACAGGATGAGCGTCTCCTTGAACTGCTTGATGAAGCGTAGCCAGAGCGGCTCGGGCTCTTCGGACGGGAGTTCGTTGAGGCCATGGACGTGTATGCGCGCCGAGGCGTCCGAGGTGGAGAGGCCATGTGTTACCGACGACGAGAGTTTTTGCGCAGTCTCCTGGACCGACAGGAGAGAGTAGGTCGATGTTATTGACTGTTGGGGCACGTGTTAGCGAAGCGTGGGCAGAGGCAAGAGTGTGGCACAAGAGCGCATGGCGTACTGAGGGTGTCGCGTTTCGCTTGTGCGGCTCTGGGGGTTGCAGCATTGGCGACGCTGAGCGCGGGGACTTTGAGGGCGTATGGGCGACATTGAACACGGGCAGTGAGGGCGTCGTGGCTTTTGACATGTTGGCATGGCCAGGAGACGACTGTTGCGCCCCAGTCCAACGTGGCCTGTCTCTCGACAGCGGGCGTGAAAAGATGTCGGGCAATACTCGGTTATCGCATTGATGCTGCTAGCAATAGGAAAAGGCGGGAAGGGCTAGCACGTGTTTCAAACAACAAAGTGCAATTGGAGACTGCTGTTGTGACGTCGTCTTTGGGGTTGGGGTTGATTTGTCGTCTTGATCCATGTACATGTTAGACTAAAACGTCAAAGCATCGGTACCAACCCCGGGGGACTTGGTACACTTTGATTCAGCCAATTGTTTGACGTCAACTCGCAATCTTGCAACATGATCTCTATTGCCATCATGTGACACATGCTTTCAAATGAGACAGATTGCACTCACTTTGACTTGTCCGTTCGCGGCCTGCACATTATACTTATGTATGCGTCACGCCTTCAAATCATCAATGGCTAGATAGGGCTGATGCATGACATCACGCGCTATTGCCGCTTTGGCTGGAGCTGGAGCATGGGTGGAAATGACAGTGTGTAGTCTTGGATTGCCATCTACCTGTACTTTGACTGTATTGGAATACCATGTTCAAAGACGCGTGGCCAACAGGCTAGACCCCCGCACACGATGCCGTACCTAGGTAATCTGCACACCACCGGGTAGTTCCTCAAGCCCTGTGCGCATGTCAGTATCCCGCCCCTTACCGCGGAGAAGAGCCTGCCTACATGTATTTACTCCTACATCTTCAACAGCCTGTTGCGCCTTCGTACATGCAATCGCTTCTTTTCCGTCCTGAATCGTCAGTGTTGCAGAGCAATCTTCGCTTCCACACTTGTTGCCCAAAGCGTCCATGGCTCGCTGCAAAGCATCGCCTTTCCACCCAAACAGGTAATCGCCATGCGCTCCAAACCCAGTCCTGCCCTCGTCAGCAAAGCCCTCGTCGACTAAACTAAATGCCACTCACCTGTCGCCAAAGCTGTACACCAGAGGCTGTTTCCCGTCTTGATAGTACTTTGCATCTGCGAATCCAGACGTGTCGAACATGACTTCATACATTACCTGTGGGATTCTGACCGGATGGGTACTTGGACATTTATCATCAGCGAGTCCGCCGAGCGCACCCGAGTTGGGTGAATATGCAACATGTGATCTATGGTCAGGCGAATCCAATGTCACTCCGTCCCAGCACGAGGGAAATATCACTGTGGCGCGAATGCCTCCAGGGCAAGGTGTCAAAGGGAAGCTAGCCGTGTCATTTGCAGAACAAGGTGCTCCAGAACCACCTGTAACACGTTCGCTAGCTTGCAGGCATCTATGGCAGATGCCTGGAAAGGTGCCGTTCTTGTTGCGATTCATGACGTCGCCAGCAAGCATGCGGAAGCCCTGTGTATTTGTAAGAGGACGGAATCTAGAGAGGGAATGATGCATTATGACTCACGGGTTTCATGGCCGTTGTAGTCTTGTTCACATCGCCAAACGGACGCATGTAGTATATGGTAAGACCCCCTTCTTGTTCGAGGAGAGTTTGGTTCAGACGTCCGTTGGCCATCTGTGGAACTTTCCGATACGTGCCATTCTCGGGCGACTTGAAATAGATGGAGCCAGTCCAGTAATTTGATGTATCTTCCCTGCTTAGGTCAGTAAGCTGGTTTAAACACATGGCAGCCATGCTAACTTGTAGATACAGGAGGTACAAGAAGACTGTGCGGGCGGGTCTATCGTGTATGGATCCATCTAGCCTCTTTAGTCCTATGCATACACTCAACAAGCAGAGTACTATACCGTGACGTCAAAACTGTTACCCCCGACAATCTGCTCATGTTAGTCGAGTTCGACATTAGGATAAGGTGTATACACGCCTGGTGCATATGCGGCGATGGATTCAGTCCTGGAGTCACAAGGGGATCAATTCGCTCAACAACTAGCTGCGAGCATCCGAATCGGAGGAAGTCTGAAGCTCCATATTGTCCGTAAGTTGGTGGCTGGGTTAGAGTATGTCGTGCAAACAGAAGCAAGAGAGCAGAATGATAGAGATACATGGCTGTGACAGAAATTCAGTTCAGTTCCCTGCATTTTTGACTGAGCACAACGACCTGGTTATATCTGAGTTACACTCAGGACCTGTGTACCAAATACCGATGCCCTCATTTTGATAACAGCACTGAACAACCGGACATAGTGTTCAACAAGCCTTGGCGATTCCATTCGCATGGTAGTTCCTCCCCGTGAGGCCAATAAGCATGATCGGAGTGATTGAGCACTATACGCCTCAATACTTCAGCAGCCTTGCAACAACTGCCGAAACTACGAGTGCACAGCCTTTGGACTTGACCTTAACCCAGACGCATGTGCACCCCAAGGGCAGATTACTACCATATTGTGTGATTGATACTATCGGCACTCTGAAGAGTCATCATTAGGCCTATAAGAGTGTGATGATATATAGTCAAGAGGTGACAGCATGCACGTGTTAAAGCTGGACGAATGGTGGTGGTGGTGGTGGTGGTGGCGGGGTGACCATCAGACGAAAAGGTGACTAAGCAAGAGCTGGTGGCGCCGGGGTCGTGCCTGCCTGGCATGTTCTATCCAGCCATCACCAGCCTCATCACTTTCCACAACCGAGCGCATCCGCAACACCATCGTCGCTCGATTCATTTGGACCTTCACTGCCATTGCCACGTTTGCGCGCACCTGTGGCACCTAATTTGGACGTTGTCGGCGCGCCCCCACCATCTGCGCATCCGATCTGCCCGACGCGTCGACGTAAACACGACTGCTACCCGACGCGACCTATTCAACCGCCACCATGTTTCTTCCCGAGGATCTGCTGTTCAAGCAGGGCGCGCTTGCCCACGTGTGGCTCGCCTCGAATCAGCAGAAGAAGCTTACCAAAGCTCAGGTGCTGCAGCACAAGATCCCGGAGAGTTGCGAGGTCATCATCCGACCCGAGGTGGCTGCTGGCGGCCCCCTTGCATTGCGATTGAATGCGCAGTTGCTTCTTGGTGAAGTGCGCATCTACCACAAGAAGGCGCATTATCTACAGGATGACTGCAACGAGGCCCTGTGGAAGATTAAGATGGTAAGCTCCCTCTCTACCAACAACTCCACACGACCACTACTGACCCATCTTTAGGCCTTCCGACCAGGGAACATCGATCTGCCCGCCCAAACCCATGTCGCCAACCCCACCAACCTGATCCTGCCAGATCAGATCACCGATCTTGACCTGCTAGCACCCATGCCAGATCCCTCGTTCCTCTTTTCGCAACCCATTAGTGGCAATCTGGATCTTGGAAACACCACCGTTCCGGATTGGGACAACAGCCAGTTCCTCTCTGGCAGCATTGAGCAGGCACGTATGGAACCGATGGAGCTTCCAGATGATGATTTGAATCTGGATATCGGCGAGTACGACGACTTTGATCGCCCAGCTGCGTATGATGAGGGTACCAGTATTGAGCTCGGCCGTAACGCACCTTTGGAGCGACATCAGTCCGAAGACTTCACCGCACTAGACAAGAACCTCGACGACGACCTTGGCCTGGATATCGGTGAAGACCCCCCAACGGAACTGGCCCATGCTGCTGATGTGGAACTCAATCTTGGGCTTGGAGATGACGAGGACATCACAATGGGCGGCATGACCGAGACAGGTCTCCCAGCAAGCTCGATAGCTGGTGACTTACCCATGCGACAGCGTGAAGAATCGCCACTCTCCGAGTTGGGAGAGGAAGAGGCTACCCGGCTAGAGCAAGAAGTTGCCGAGCAAAACACTACAGTGTTTGAGCCAGAGCCAGAGCAGGAGGAAGAAGAGGAAGAATCCATTCACCAAGCCCGGGCGAAGCGTAGGAGGGTCATTGGAGCCGATGCTGAAACCATGATATCGAGCCATCAGCTCCGGGAGCAACAGAACAATCGTGAGAAGATCCTCAAGCCAGCCTCGTTCCTTCCTCGCGACCCTCTTCTTATGGCATTGCTCAATATGCAAAGGTCTGGCGGATTCGTCTCAAGCATCCTCGGCGATGGCCGGAGCCAAGGTTGGGCTCCAGAGCTACGCGGCATTCTTTCTCTAGAGGTTGTCTCCCGCCCTGCTCAAAAGCGCAAACGCGACAATACTGCTGCCGAGCCTGGTACCCCAGAAGATGACGCGGCCGCTGAAGGAGAGAAGACACCACAATTGCAACTGGAGTTTGACCAAGATGAGCCGACCTTGGGAGCGGGTGACATGGGTCTAGGGGGTGATAACAACACCACAATTGCCGGATCTGATGACATAATCCAACTTCCCGACGAGCCCGGTTTCCAGCAACAGGCAGAGGAACAAGGAGAAGAGGAAGACATGTTTTCGCCTGTTCCAGACAACTTTGACGATACAACCGCTCCTCTTGTCCATCCCTCGGAAGCTGGACCAATCTCCCTAGGCACAAAACACGCCGTTCACTTCTTGCGTGAGCAGTTTGGACCTGAAGCCGAAGAAAGCGAAGCCGAACGCCAAAAGAACAGCATCGTATTCCAGGACATGTTCCCGGAAACGCGCACCTCGCGAAATGATGCGACCAAGATGTTTTTTGAGATGCTCGTCTTAGCTACCAAGGACGCTATCAAGGTCGAACAGCCAGTCAATCAACTTGGTGGTCCGCTCCGTATTCGCGCTAAGCGCGGTCTCTGGGGCCAATGGGCAGAGACTGGCGCGAGCGGCGAACTGCCTTCTCAGGCACAAGCTTCACCGGCGGGAGAGGTTGATGCGCCCACCGAGGCCATGTTCCAAGGTCCCCCAGAGGTGTCTGTATCTGCCTAAAAGGCGAGAGTTCTAACAAGTGGCTTATTACTTCTTCGAGACTGACTGCCTCGGGGGGCTTGATTCATCTGGCGTCGTTGGCTGGATACCCTTTCTTCTTTTCCTGGTCACACTACGTTTGAACGTAGGCTTTTGGGATGGACGGTGTATTGGCGTTGTTTTCATGTGGATCCAATGTATTTTTGGGCATGTTGGTTACTCGATTGAGCACTTTTGTAACATGAGTATAAGGGTCGGATAGTTTACATTGGCGAGCTTGGACAGACGCGCGAATGCAATTCCACATCATTACTGTAACTAGTTCTCATTATTAAGTGAGGTGAATGTATTGCTCGCCTGGCATTCATGAATGACTTTGAGGTGGATGTCGGTGACGTCGTTGCCGCGGCCGGATCGGAACTGCAGCCCCACACCTTTCCGAGAAATTTTGGTCCTCACCAGTCATCACCCTGATGCCCAATCGACATCCCCGCATACCAAATGTCAATCTCACAAAGCTCTGCTCATATTCTGCTCCGACACGTTCTTTGGTGCAAGCCGCCGCATCAAAGCGCTGCCACGTCCCGGTTACCACGCTGAGGGCTCCGGCTACGTTCTTCACGCCTACACCTTCCAAGCGCATGGCCGGAACTATGTCTGATTCTGCAATGAAACTCGTGGACCCCCAGAAATTGGGCAAAATCACCTTCAGGAGGACGGATGATTTGATTGATGAGTGGGATATTGAATATGATGAATCAGAGGGGTCTGAGCATGCTGGCATCATGAAGAGGGCGGCAAAAGAGCTGCAAGATACCAACAACCCGGTGGCATTTCCTACCGAAACCGTATACGGACTCGGCGCAGATGCTACAAGAAGCGCAGCTGTAAAGGAAATATTTGCTAGGAAGGGAAGGCCGGCTGATAATCCTCTGATTGTACATGTGCACTCGCTACCGCAGTTGCGAGCCCTGTTAGCAGGAAGACTGGAAGCTGAAGGCGACGGGAAGATTTTGGGCAAAGATCCGATTCCTGAAATCTATAGGCCGGTGATTGAACGCTTCTGGCCTGGTCCAATTACTATCATCCTGCCGGTCCCCCAAAACTCGATCCTCGCGCCAGAGGTTACTGCGGGTCTCTCTACCTTTGGCGCACGTATGCCCCGTTCCATCATCGCATTGTCGCTCCTGCGACTGTGCGGACGCCCACTTGCTGCACCCTCTGCGAACGCTTCGACGCGACCCTCACCCACCGCCGCGGAGCATGTCCATGACGACTTGAGGGAGAAACTCGACTTGATAATTGACGGTGGGCCATGTGAAGTGGGTGTGGAAAGCACAGTCGTAGATGGCCTGTCAAATCCACCAGCAATATTACGACCAGGCGGTGTCACGGTAGAGCAGTTGAGACAATGCCCAGGTTGGGAGAGCGTGATTGTTGGATATAAGGATAAGCAAGCAGAAGATTCAAGCAAACCGCGAGCGCCTGGAATGAAGTACAGACATTACAGTCCAAAGGCATCCGTTCTTTTGTTTGAATCCGGAGCAAACAAACCTACGCCTGACGAGCTCAAGAGTAAGAGCAGGATTGGAATAATCCGGACAAAGGGTTGGGAACCTGTATTAGGCCTCCCCTCTCAGAAAGTACACAAGCCAGATATGATTGGACAGGTGGTCTGCTCTTCACCGGACACAGCAGCTTCCCTAGATGCTGACACCTCTCCGTCACGACTTTCCAACCTCCTACGCTCCGTCACTCAGCACCAAATACCGCATTCAGATCACTATATTGTCAAACCCGGCGCGATTCAGGTGTGGGATATCGATCTTGGGGCCAAGACAGAAGATGTCGCGAGAGGATTATTCTCGGCGCTTAGAGAGCTGGACAAGAAGGCTGTTGAGACGATATATGTAGAGGGCATTGACGATAAGACGGGTGATGATATTGCAGCTGCAGTCATGAACCGGCTTAGGAAGGCTGCTGAGATAAGGTGTTAATTGAAGAAGATGTTTTGTCTAAGGCCAAAACTCTAGTTGTAACTGCACTTGAATACTGGAGCGTTTGGACGTGAATCATTGACGTATCTCGTGGAGCGATGCGTCATATATAATTCACGTTCCCCCTTCATTAATACAACACACCATTGATAGCGCATGAACTCTCCATCTTTCTTGTTATGTTTATATACCCTCTTCCGCCATACACGCTCACCCTCCACTCACTATCATATACTAAATCCAAGTCAGCATCCATCATGTACCTTGCTACCATCCATCTCACGATGATCTTCCCACTATCCAGCCTCATACTAGCAGCACCCGCCACCTCCATCTCCTTTGATCCCCCGACAATCACCTCTGATCCCACAAAACCCATCCTTGCCACCGACACACATACGCTCTGTGTATCCGACCCATACCTCACAAGCTCAGGCTTCGCCGTTCCCCCTTCACCAGGCTCTGTCATACCCACACCAGATGAGCAGCAGGAGGTTCCTGGTTTTGATACGACAACCGCGACTGCTCCAGCTAGCCAGATAAACCCAGCTAGTTCGACAGGGGTGGCTACGGCGTCTTCGCAATCCAAACTCGAAATCCCGATCTCAGTTACAGAAGACATATCTGTATCTGGTATACCCTGGAGAACTCGGACGACTATATTATCTACGATATCCATGACCATGTCTAGTTTTGCAGACATAGGCACGACAGGTGGATCCGTGGCTAGTACTATGGTGCCTATAGATCCATTGCCGTCTTCAAATGCTACATGGCCGGTCTCTCAGGCTTCTTTAGTGTCAATGGCATCGGAGTTCACTTGGCCTACGACTCCTTTTACACTACCAGGGGGTTGGGGTACTACGATGGGGATGAGTAGGACTGTAGCAGCTACAACGACTTTAGCGGGATAGCACGATTGTGATATCTAGCATTATGTCTTCCATAATGGGTAGAAAGAGAGTGTGGCAGAGTTGTGCTGGTAGAGGGCCTTTGCTCTTTTTACCAACTTGCTAAGTTTTCGGCTTGGATTGCGTGGCTATTGTGGTGTATGTAAAGGAAGACAAATACCACTACTTCTTCCCACAAGTTATAATGGTGTGTGTTATGACGAGGTCCTTGTCCCTGTGTTCATTGCAGCCTGCTACTACTGTCTTACCATGGATACGGCATACCGAGCGCAGGAACCATGGATTTTGCACTATTGAATGTCACCTGTTCAGCCCACTTGCAATCGTATCCACGGCGACAACAACTCAGTCCGTCATCATCCATCAGCTTGTGCGGTAGATATGGCGCGAATTGTACTCGCCTTCCCCCCTTTCCCAAATGGACCGTTAGCATCTACTAACCAGCCATCCCTCGCCAGCGAGCCGGGGGCGAAGAGAAAACAAGCTTTCAGCGATCTTCACAGCCGAACGGGTTCAGGAAATTACTTTGAATCTAGGCTCTGTCTGCCAGGGTAGGTGGGGTAGGTGGTCAGATCAAATTACAGTCTTGTTAGTATGTCAGCACTGTAGCGGGAGCGACCGGCTGACTATCTGGTTGGCTGACTGGTATGTCAGGCGCGACCCTGAGTGTTTCGGAACGAGTGTTATGGTTCACGAACGCGTGGGTATCTTTTTTTGCGTACTTGTGAGCGAGGGTCGGAAATCATTAGTGCTGTGAAGTTGGTTCACGAGTGTGTTTAGGAGTTGTACGGTAGTGGTAGGCTGGCTGCCAATGAAATATACGGTGATCGACGGTTGTTGTGCGCGGATGATCTTCAATGATGTGGTGCAATTTCGGGGGTTTAGGGGCGGATTTGCGCGATTTGCTTGACGTCATGGTAGTTGAGGACAAGAACGGTTGCTTTGATACTGCTGTATAAAAGTGTAGAGTAGCATGTTCGAGATGTTGTGGCGAATATGGTAATCTAGAATACGAGAAAATTGCATTGAGCCAAATCGAGTATACAGGCATACCTTGGGCACCTGCAACCCAGCACGTGACATGTATGATCTGGAAGCTTAGCCGCCGGGTGACCCACGCGCAGCAGATAAGTAAGTCTAGAGGCTAGACCCTGGTGGAGAGGCTTTTGAAGTCCTTGCAGTGGATATTAATTCGTCTGCTTGCTATTTTCCCCCATGAGTCAAAGCACACCGGTATGTACCTATGTGTGTGTGCGTGTGACAGCCAATGCGACGTATGTCAGGCGCCGGCTGTTGGGAAATGAATGTGCATGCGTTAGGTTGCGCAAGCGTTGCAGCGCTTATGCAGGAACCTTAGGCTTAAGTGCTGTCGATTATAGCCTATCGATAGCGCGGGCCGTCAGCAATCATCGTGTCTTTCTATTTCTACAGTGGCAAAGTCGATTCAGCCAACAAATGAGAATTGTCATGTAGAGAAGGTGTGGTGTTGTGCTACAAGCAAGTCAAATATACTGGGATGTATTCTCCAGTGAATGTACGTAAACAAGGTTCAGTGACTCGGTGCAAATACGATAATGAAACTGGTTACGCCGTATGACGTCGTCAAGCACCATGGGGTTATGAATCAACAGGGCAAAGGCGAGGGTATACCCCGCGAAGGCCAAAGCAGATAGCAAGAAAACAAAGGCCGTTCGCATGCCGACAAAGAAAGAACGTCGGCATTGTTGAACAAGGGCTCATCGGCGCGCTTTCACGTAGACGCCACATACGTTCCAGTGGCCACGAACAAGCAACGTGGACAATGGAGCAAGGGACGCCTTGCAGTATCTTGTCTTTGATCCGAAGCAGAAACCAAAGGAGATTTTCGCGTCGAGGTTGCACCCGATAACGAGCTGAGGAGGAGGAGGATGTGCCGAGAGCTGGACTGAACGCCTCCACTCCGTATCCTGAGGCTTGGACTCGTCGATCGGACTCGTAAAGACGAGAAGCCTCGTAAGCGGTGACTGCACCAAAGGCGCAACGTCCAGCCCGGGTCCCGAACTCAGATTCAACAAATCGACGGTACTCGTCAGCCTTGATCTAAAAAGGCCAAACTCCGTAGGCCAAACCCTTCGGAGATGACAGAAGGTGTCTAGAATCGATGCCATCCCGTGGCGGCGTCTGCGCGGCCCCACCCCTTTACAGCCCGCGCAAAGCCAAGGTTGGGAGAAGTCTGGCGAAAAGTCTGCCAGATTCATGGGACCAGGCAAAGAGAAGGTCACGTCTCTTTTGGTAGACAGCTGGGACCGGACAATGATGACTGCAGATGTCACCCAAGGATTACTGTCCAAGCCATCTATCGATAGATCAGCCTTGCTGATTCAGGCGGAAAGACGAAGCCCGATGCAAGCGAGCCGCAGCAATGCCCCTGCTCGTCGTGGGCAGGGTGAGCGGGTGTACCTGAAAGTGGCGGCTATGTGAAACGCCCGGCGCTATGCTGTAGCTAATCATGGCAAGCCACGACCTTAGCGGTTCAGCCTGTTTCTGTGTCGTGAATGGCTGCAGAGGGCAATCTTCACCACCCGACCCCTGTATTCTCCGTTTGCGCAAAAAGTTTGCTTACGCAGGTTTTCCAAGGTCTAGGCGGGCGGGTGGGAAGGATTGGGGCTCGCTCGCGCCCGGGTGCCCCGCGTGGATATATGAATGTTCAAACCCATCCGCATTCTCCCCGACTTTTCTTCCTTGTCACCACCTTCCTTGGACTCACATCTCTCGGTCGTTGCCCTGCCATTCTTTTGAGCACTTTTGCTCGGTACATTCTCTTCAGTCACTATTGACTATCACATTCCTTGTTCGACACGTCAAGATCCTATTGTTTGCGCTCAGGTCAGCTGCATCTTGCTTTTACTCATCGATACCCTCAAGCACGCACGCAACCGATACCAGTAAACCTGCCTTGTTCAATCGACAAACAATCGTAAACAACAAACATGTCCTCAGTCAAGATCACCAGCCTTTTGGCTCTCGCCTCCGTGGCCGCTGCTGTTCCCCACTACCAGCACAACAAGTTCCACCACCGCGCTGCTTACCCTACCGGCGGATGGGGTGCCTACAACAGCTCTGCTGTCCCTGCTGGAACTGGTACCACTACCATTGACACGACTTCAACCTCGACACAGACTCTCTACTCGACTGTCTACCTCCATGTATCGAGTTCCCCTGAGAGTGTTGACGCTGCCGCAGCATCCACTGGTCTCTTCAGCACTGGATGCGGTGCCAATACCGTCACCGTGACTGCAAAGGAGAAGGTCACCGTCACCATCACCCCCGGTGCTGGTACCCCTGCTCCCAAGCCCTCTGCTCCCGCAGCCGAGTCATCTGTTGACTCAGGCTACGGCGCTTCGTCCCCCAGCCCTGCTGCTCCCGCAACTCCCGCTGCTGAGCAGAGCTCCTCGGCCGCTGGCTACCCTGCTGCTCCTCCTGCTGCCACCCCCGTCAAGGAGAGCCCCATTCCGTCTTCGGCTCCCGTCAAGACTCCCGTTGCGGAGACTACTTCGGCTGCTGGATACCCTGCTCAAACTCCCGAGGCTTCTCCTGTCGTCACTACATCCATGGCCCAGCAGCCCGTAGCTAGCAGCGCCGCCCCGTCTTCTTCACTCGCTCCTTCCCCCAGCGCCGGCAACGGCTATTCTGGAATCAAGCGCGGTCTTGCGTACAACGATGCTCATCTATGCTCAACTTTCGGCGCCAAATTTGGTTTCGGATACAACTGGGGTCAAGCTGAGACTAACGACATCGGCACCCAGTTCATCCCCATGATGCACGGTCCTGACAAGTCCACGGCCCAAGAGTGGCTCGCAAATGTCGACCTCGCCGTCAAGAAGCACAAGAGCACTGCCGTCATGGGATTCAACGAGCCCGACATCGCCGCCCAGGCCAACCTTAGCCCCGAGGCTGCATGCTCCGCCTGGAAAGAATACATGAACCCAATCAAGTCTACCTACCCAGAAATCACCATCATCGGCCCATCCGTCTCCAACGGCCAAGCCCCTCTGGGTCTTGACTGGCTCAGCAGGTTCCATACCGTATGCCCCGACGCCATTGTCGACGCCGCAAACATCCATTTCTACGACCAGTACGACTCCACTGTCTTCGACCGTTTCAAGGCGCACGTCGAAAAGGCCGCTAAGCAGACGGGCCAGAAGCTCTTCATCACCGAGTTCGGTCTCAACCCCGGTACTGCCAACCCACAGCAGGCGGCCGAGTTCTTGGCTCAGTGCATTGAGTACCTTGATGCTGAACCTGTTGTGGACGGCTACGCTTATTTCATGGTTGGTGAGGGCGAAAACCAGCTCAACTCCAACGGCGCGCTTTCAGCGGCTGGCAAGATCTATGCTGGGACTGCTTAAGCTGAACTATGTTGCGTAGTTTGAACGATGGCGGTTTTCTATCAACATGTTTTGCATGGCATCTATGGCGCTTCTTTTTTGGGTCTCGGTCGGGGATACACGGTCTTAGACGGACTGGTTTGGGTTGGTTTGGGTTGTTCATGACAGAACAACAACAACGAGCCATTGGCGAAGCAATCCGTTTACCCCCCTTGCAATGGGAAACGATTGCTTACATTACTGTATATTTTCTTCTTTCTCCTCAACTGAGGTTTTGTGTGGTTTGGAGGTGGCTTGGTGTAGCGAATATGATACAAGGAATAAAGAAAGATTCTCCGAACTGTGTGTGTGTTTCTTGCGTCTTGCTCGCTCGTGTAATTGTCGTTTGACGTGGTCTCCTTGTAATCAATTTCAACCTTAGTTGTACGTTCACACGTAACATAAACAGCCAAACCCTCACATGTCATTGCATACCTCCATACGAAGAGGAACCCGTTGGAAAAAGATATCGGTTTGGAAAAAAGCGTGCAAAATCTAACGTCCAACGCATAAGGCCGTTCGTACGCAAAGCCACAAAACACAAAGACGGGAGAGAGATGCAGGGGGGAGGGGGGTACGAAAACAAATCCCAAAATTTGATCCTTACATACCGTCTAACCGTCTAGCCCGGTCCTCCTCTCACGTCCGATGCGAACAAAAAAAGCAAGCAATGAATGTGAAAAAGAAAAGTTTCGGTCATGTCGCGAGATGAGTGAAGAAAAGGTAAACATAGAGTTGTGTAAGGAAAAGGCGTTCAGGGTAGCAAGTTGGCAATGACCCGCTCCTATACTACAATCATGGCTGCATAGCGACATCAAGTTCCGTTATATAACCGAACCTGCTAGAGGAGTATATCTTCATGCTCAGTGCATGCAAAGCTTGTTGGATCACAAAAGGGCCAACCTCACTAAGTATGGCAGTACCCTAGTCAGTTTTAGCATTCCAGAATTGAGGAACGGTGAAAAAAAAAGGCTCAACATGGGCAATAAATTTGCTATGTCCGAATAATAATAACGGGATTGACCCATCCTAGTGGTAACTGGAGGTTATTGATGGACCTTTGCGAAAAGAAGAAAACGCCCCCCAAGTGCAAATTCCGTGTTGTCGCTTTACGTCTGGTTTCTGACAAGAAAAACATTCAAGTGTATACAAGTACAGTGTGGTTGCCGTCTATGCGCCCGCGATAGACGACTCGTATCCCGCCTGCTTTATTGGCTCTCTTGCTTTGGTTGTTGGGTTTGCTGTTGCTGTTGCTGGGTTTGTTGTTGTTGCTGTTGTTGCTGCTGTGCCTGTTGTTGTGCTTGTTGCATGCTTTGCTGCATAGCGTTCTGTCCCCAATTTGGCTGTAGGCCTGCGCTGGGTGGTTGTGACATGTTGGAGGAGGTGCGTTGCGGGCCGGGTGATTGCTTCATCTGGGCGGTTTGACCTTTCCAGCCGGGAAAGAGGTCTTGCAGTTTGGTGTAGAGCTTGACCAGCTCCTGAGGCGAGGCAGGAAGCGACATGATGGCGGGCCCCGGTTGGACCTGCTGGCCCGGCTTGGGCACCTTTTCAGCGTTTTGGGCGAGGTAGGCGAGATTGGCTTGTAGGCGGCGCATGTAGCTGTGTCATGTGGTTAGGGTTAAGCTCAAATAGAAGGCGCGGTACTCACTCTACGTACTCCTTGGACGGTTGGGCCTTGTCGGCTTCGGACTTTTGCTCGGGCGTGGGTGCTATGGGCCCGGCTTTGCCCTGGGCCTGGAGGTCACATACCTCGCGGATGAGGATGCTGTTAATGTCGAGCAGAGTGGCGACGCGGTCCTGGGCACGCGCGTGGTGAACAGGCGACACGGGCGACCTTGGCACCTGCTTGATGGGCGTCTGCAGCTGGGGCGGGTCGGGCTTCACGGGAAGCTGGAGGTTCATGGGCTGGTGGTGGTGGCCATTTGACTGCATGGCGGCGGGTGAGTGTTGGGGCTGTGGCTGTGGCTGTGGCTGTGGCGTGGGAGTCGCAAAGGGCTGCTGGCCCGTCGCGCTCGCGGGTGAGGCCGTCTGGCGGTTCTGGGCAAACTGCTGGTGGGCAGGCGAGGGCATCGTTTGTGAATAGGGCGCCGTCGAGTAGGGGCTCGGCGACGACAACTGGTGTTGCTGCTGTAGCGCGCCTGTTCCATCGTGTCAGACAAGAGGAACGCGCACACGTTGAGCGGCAATAGGAACAGGCTGACGACGAGGGCGCACGTTACTGTTACTGGCTTACCTCGCTGGAGATATGGCGGTCCTGGCTGGATTACATTACTGCCCATGGCCGCACCCATGCCCGGGAACGAGGCGGCTTGACCATACTGGCCATGTGGGTTGGCCTGCTGTTGAAGCCGCGCCTGTGCATCAAATTGCGTGTGTTGCGGGGAATTGGCAAACTGCCCGCCATACGCATTAGGGTTATTAAAATCCATCGTTGCCACTCATTGGCCACGTCGCACAGCTTGGATTAGATTGATCGGTGGGTTGATGGGGAGAATACGTGCGGGTTCGTGATAAGCGTATGTCGCTCAAGAAGCTGGAGAAGACCCCCCCAGCCGCCAGGCCAGCCGAGCGAGTCATAACTAGCCAGCCTCGTAGCCTCACAACAGCCAAACACGCTCCTCACACGCCTACGCTACGACTATGACTACACATACACACACACACACACACACACCTGTACACGCTGCTATGAAAGCAAAATTAATCACAAACCATGCCCGGCCCTGAACATGCTCACACTCACACTCCCATCCCTGCTGCATCGACCCACAAAAATAATCGACATAGGTTCCCTCAGCCTCGATCCGGCATCTAGGGAACGCCCGCTGCAAGTGAGCTCTAAAACAATCAACGGGACATGTGCCATTTACCTCGCCAATCACACCCACCCTACTCCCCTTGCTCGGTATTGCTACCTTGGCTATAGCTATAGCTATACCACACCCTCTTGCCTCACTCGACACCCTCCTCTGTATTCGACATGAGCTTGGCAACCGAGTCCAACTCCATCATAGGCTCACATGCCGCCCCTCTAAGCGAGCTCTAGCCCATGACGGCATGTGTGGGTAGATAGGACATCAGGAAGGAGCCGCTCGTCACTCCTCATCAACATCAACCCTCTCAATACTTGGTTCAACATGCGTCGTAAGTATACATGTACATGTCGCTGCACGGCCCTGGAATACGTCTTGCAAAGAGTAGAGTGTTGCTGGGATGGTATGCCATGTTCTGGAAGCCGGCCCTTCAGCATGCACCTGCGTCGGACCGAAGTCAGATACAGAAGATACACTAGAGATTAACCAAGCTTCATGCCCCGTTCCTGCTCTAGAGCCACATGTCCGGCCTTGGTCAATCACCCAAGACGTCCTCCTTTGTCGCCGTCTCCTTGCGCCGCAGTCCCACAAAGTATGCCTCTTTGGATTCCTGCCTTCTGTCAGCAAATGACGTCCAACACGGACATGTCCCATACAGCGCGTGACGAGTCAGGCTTCTCCCGATGCACTTTAGCGAAAAGACGTTTCATCCTCGTCTCAAACGCCTTCTCTTCTGACCCTTTGTAGTACTTGCAAACAAAGTGACCGCCCGTCTTCAGCGTGTCGAAAGCGAACGTCATGGCCGCCATGCATAGATCCTATACCGTTAATGTCGTCTTCGTTACGGAATACCAAAACTTACCATGCTGCCTGTGTGATCTCGAAAGGCGTTGCCGCTGGTGTTCATCATCCTAAAATATGGGTCACTAAGGCTCTTCTTGTGCAACCCGACTGTCTGCTCCCAGGGTTCTGACATGTCACTGAGCACTATATCCACTACCCGCCCATTTTGAACGTCTCGCTCCTTTAATGAAAGTCGTGTTGGAGAGACTTTGGCTTCTTGTCCGCCCTCGCCTGCATGTTCAGCCGTCTCGGGCTCCTCGGGTTCAAGATGGGCATGTCGCTCCATATCAACATACCCCCTCTCTATCTCATCTAGCTCTTCCTCAGTAAGCCCATCGCCTGTCATCGATGGGGCCTGTTTCGTCGGTCGACCCATTTCGGGATCTCGAACATAAGTTCGAACTTCTGCTTGGATGACAGGTGATAAGAAGTTGCCCTGCAGAGTGGAGACGCCTCGTGGAGGCTGGGCAGGGATAAGATCAATACCAATCACACGACCGCCTGGAAGCGTACGATTTACAGCAACCTGGATGAGAAGATTAACAACGTGTTAGTTTCGATGCATCGTGTGCGAACCTGAGACCATGATCCTGGTGCAAACCCCTACACCTTCTTTAGCCTTGCAATTTCATCCATTCAAAGCAGCATACCAGATCGACAACGGTTTGGCCGGGCTGGAACAGTTTGTGCTTGTCATTTAGCTGTGGCGTATTAGCCATTGCGCACATGATGACTGCAGGGCAGCTACCTCAAGCAGCTTGAATGCGGCCCGACTCTTCAAGCCTTTGACCCGAGCTTCTTTGGCAAAGAAATCTCTGCCTTGACGTGACTTCCACCTTGTCGAAGATGAGGATGAGTGGCGAGCCGGTTGTAGGATTGTACGACTATGCGAGCAACAAGCAACACATTTTGAAGCAAAGCAGACTGGAGACACGGAACGGTGGGGGGATTCGAACAGCAAACTCTCAGTGAGTTGGCGGAAAAGACGACGTGACAGCATGTGAAGATTGCCAAAGGTTGAGTTTCGCTATGCAAGGACATGATGGATCTGTCAAAAGTTCTTATCGATACCGAACCTGCCAAAACGTCATTGCACTAGTCCGATGCTCGCCGCGCATCTCTTCTCAATTATCCATCAGAGAGATGTGATGGAGGTACACTGATCAGCAGAGTAAGTTCGAATAGACCGATGCGGGATCCTTCTGGAAGCAAGCCATCATTTGCCGGTAGCAACTGCTGGTATAACTGCATGTTCGTATTCAACAACCCGACATATTATCGTTCTCGACCTCGGAACAAGGTACACAACCACCTCCACGGCCGATGGATAGCCACGCTATGCTCCAAATGCTACAAGCAGACTCACTCACTCAGCTGAGTAGTGGGTCGTGTCGCCATGGTTCAAACCATGACAAGCCCCCCCCCCAAGGGGGAACCCAGTGCCCAGCTGACTGTGATGAAGCAGACGCGTGTCTTGGTCGCGACCACGGTTTCTCCTGAATAAACCATGTGCTTCCCCCCCTGATATATTTCCAGTGCCAGTACATGTATGGCTCCGGGTAGTTCAGGGCCATATGAGCATGATTGATGCGGGTCATGCCGAGACGACGTTGAGAGATGTCAGATACAAAGACGTTGCGGAGTTTGGTTGGTTCGCGGCACTAGGCCAAAATCTGCTGCTTCCTCCCGCGCATCCTCAAATCTCCACTACCAAACCGACCAAGGGCTTCAGTCCCCCATTGCGCCGCGCCACCTATGACACAGGCGCACCCAACCATACAAACAGTCTTCGCCTAGCTACGTTGCATGGAAGATCGATTTCATCGCGCATTTCATCCTTCACCGCTCACCTCACACGCCCCGAAATCTGTCTTCACCTCTGAAAGAGCATCTCCCAATGACATCGAAACTGCGACGCGCGACCCCTCCCCTCCTTGGATAAATCTCTTTCTCCTTCGCTCCGGTTGCACTCCGTCTTCTGTATCTACCGACAACACGTCATTCTGACCACTGCCGACTTGCGCCATGTCAACTCCTCCCGATAAGTCGCAATCGCAGTCGCAACCAGCCGCTATCATGAGCGACGAGCCTGGACAGGGCGTCAAAGTATGCACCGACCCATATTCTGTCCATGCAATGCCAATTGACCCATGATTGCAGCCTCTCGGCACCCCCGACATCACCAGCATGCAGCGTATTCGACAAGTCTTCGCACAGCCCGTCCTCGCTTCCTTTGTTGCTGGTGGTGTAGCGGGTGCAGTCTCCCGAACCGTCGTCTCACCTCTGGAGCGCCTCAAGATTCTCTTCCAGATCCAAAGCGTTGGACGTGAAGAATACAAAATGTCCGTCCCCAAGGCGCTGGCAAAGATGTGGAGGGAGGAAGGTTGGAGGGGCTTCATGGCTGGTAACGGCACCAATTGCATTCGCATTGTCCCATACTCTGCCGTCCAATTCAGTGCCTACAACGTCTACAAGCGGGTAAGCTCATTTCCTCAAGTTCTGCTCTTTTCGTCTTTGATTTTTGCCGAGCGGATTGCTTTCTGAACTTTTGGGTGGACTGATGAAGGTGGGCGGACAACAAGAGTGGGACGGCCGAAGGTTGGAGGGGTAGAGATGGGGAATACAGGGGTGGTAGAGGGAGGTAGAAGGAGAGAGTGAGGACGAGGACGAGGACGAAAACAAGGACAAGGACAAGAAGTTTGGACGTCTCGCACGAGAACAATGGCGGTGAGACACCCTCGGATTCAACAGCTGACTTGACCTAGTTCTTCGAGGCTGAGCCCGGTGGTCCTCTCGACGCATACCAGCGACTTCTTTGCGGAGGTCTCGCCGGCATTACATCTGTCACATTCACATACCCCCTGGATATCGTCCGCACGCGCCTGTCAATTCAATCGGCATCATTCGCTAGCCTCAAGAAGGAGGCTGGCCAAAAGCTCCCCGGCATGTGGGCACTTCTCGTCACCATGTACAAGACCGAGGGTGGCATCCCCGCCTTGTACCGCGGCATTCTCCCCACCGTCGCCGGCGTGGCGCCTTACGTCGGCCTCAACTTCATGGTCTACGAAATTGCCCGCACAAAATTCACTCGAGAAGGCCACAAAGACCCCGGGGCCATCGGCAAGCTAGCCGCAGGTGCAGTCTCGGGCGCTGTAGCCCAAACAATCACCTACCCCTTCGACGTCCTCCGTCGCCGCTTCCAAATCAATACCATGAGCGGCATGGGCTACCAGTATGCGGGAATCGGTGATGCAATCAAGCAGATTGTCAAGACTGAAGGGTTCCGCGGCCTCTACAAGGGTATTGTCCCTAACCTCCTCAAGGTGGCACCGAGCATGGCAAGCAGTTGGCTCAGCTTTGAGATGACGAGGGACTTGCTCATGGGCAAGTTGAATTCGGGCTTTCTTTAATGCAAACACGATTCAAAGAAATCAAGACAAAAAGTCGCGCAAATGGCGCATCGTCACGGACTATAATTCTACTTTTTGCATAGCATGGGATGGATGGGCCTTCCTTGCCTTGGGAAATATAGCGACGGCGTTTTTCTTTTCCTTTTCTTGACTCACTCCATAGACGCATTGTATAACAGTGGACGAGCGCTCAAGGGGATTCTCCGAGCCGGGCAGATGCCGGGGGGGAAACCATAATGAGAGAGTATACTGTATACCGGAGAGTAAACATGTGATGATATACTTGCTAATAAGGGTATTGAGGGGATACATAATATCAACCCTGTTCGAGATGTAGTGTTTAGAGGTCGATGTAGCCATGATAAGGAACCGTGACCATAGCGTAGGAACTATCAACGGGGGCTGTCGGATGTCACAGTGGTCTATCTTTTTGTTTTCGTGTAGAATACAAGATGGTATAGTAGTTGGTATGCTATGTACACGCTCACTTATAGAGCACCATCCTTCCTCAGAGTCTCGTTGCCCCACGGTTCGCTAGTCAAGCACGTCAACCCACCAGCAGGTTCGCAGCTCGCCCTTCCGCTTAACGGACCCGGCGATGGTACCTTGACGCCGCCAGCCTCGTATTGGCGAGCCTGTGCGTTTGCTACGGCATCGCCAGCGCCTTCTCCCGTTGCCGTACCTTTTCCAGCCCCACTAGCAAGACCCTTATCTCCAGGCTGGGCACCAGTGGCTTGCGCGGCGTGCTTGAGTGCTTTGAGCAGGTTGACGGTGGAGTCGTAGGTAAGGTCCTCGTAGTAATCGTCATTGATCTGGACCATGGGCGCATTTGCACATGCGCCGAGACATTCGACTTCTGAGAAGGTGAAGAGGCCGTCTGGTGTCGTCTCGCCGTGATGTACACCCAGTACGTCCTCACAGGCCTTCATGACCGAGTCGCTATCGCAGAGCATACAGGGTGTCTAGATATATACCTTGCGTCAGCCTTTTCTTCTCTTGATCCTCCTAGAGCCAAACTACCGGCCGCACCAATGAAAACTCACCGTCGTGCAGACCTGAACGTGGAACTTGCCCACGGGGTCCCGGTTGTACATTGTGTAGAAAGTGGCAACCTCGTAGACACGCATGGGCGGCATCTCGAGTATCCGCGCCACCTCGTTCATGACGCTGATGCTGCAGAAGCCGTGTTGACGTTGTCCGAGGTCGAGCAGTGGCATTACAGCTGCTTTTTTGTACTGCGAGGGGTATCGCGAAACAACTTCCTTGATGAGCTCCTCATTCTGCGGCGTGAACTTGAATGGGATCTTGAGATTGTTTTGGGGTGTATCGCGGTGCTGCAAAATAGGCATCAGCTAGGCCTTTTCTTTCTGCGTCCAAGATGGATATTGCAGAGGGTAAAAACGTACAACGTTGAGCGAGCCGCTCTCGTTCCACGACGGTCGCGAGAGGCTGAAGGCTCGCCATTGGGCCCTCTGGAACGGTCGCGAGACACGCGGGACTACTCTACAGGCAAAGGGCACGAGTCTCGAGGCCATGGTGGGATGTGTGGGGGTGCTGGACGCGGATATGGCGTTGGATGGACATGGTCACGATGAAGCTCATCC